CCCCCCCCCCCGACCGCATCACCTGTCTACCTGTCTACTTATCGTCCACTGTACCTCCCCCCACGCACGCACGTAACTGCCACTACTCAAGACTGTGCTCTATCTCACGCTACACTACACTACACTACGGCTAGTACGACAACTATGGCTACTGCGGCTACTGCGGCTGCGGCAGGCTTTCTGGTTTATTTGTTCCTTAGCTGGTCTTGGCCCTTTGGCTCGTCTTTGGGCGCTGGCATGCATCGGGGATTTCCTTCTTTGTTTCTTCATTTTTATGCTTTCGTGCGCTTGCGCTGTCTTCCCTTTGCTCAGGTGTTGGCTATGTCGCTCGGGTCGGGGGACTGGTAGTCCAGAGAGGGTTGATATCACCCCTTTCTCGCCATCGGAACCTGCACCGTTTTGCCGTCAGAGCCTTGCCTCAGCCTTTCGTCATTCGTTGCCTTGCTTCCTTTGCTCATTGCATTCTTGATGTTTCATCACTTTCACTGTCATCATCATATTTCTGCTTTTCATTGTGTCGATAGTTCCGATTTCCCCTTTCAGCAACTTTGCACGCACGGTCAATGTTTCGGTAGATATTTTCACGCTTCACGGTCATGATTTGTACTGGTATCACACTGGTTCGGCTCGGCTTCGGTTTCGGTTTTGGTTTCGGTCTCGGTCTTGTTTGGTTTGGGTAGAATAAGAATCACATTGTTATTGTCCTTTAGTGAATCGCTGGTCAAGGGGTTAGGGATCTTGTTACTTTAAGAGCACCCATACGATGATACTGTAGCCTACAAGTTCCAGAGCATGCCCACAGCACCATGCCTCCTTTCTTCCTCCCACGAGGAGAACACGCCCCAGAGAGCTATATATATCCCTCGGCTCGTACCAGTACTGCGCCCGTTCTGGAGGCGAGCGGACCTACGAGCGCCGTACAGCCCTGTGCCTCTCGCAACCAAGGCGTGCCTTGCTCAAGTGTCCTTATTCCCAGTCGCTCAATTGACAATACAGTATGTACATCCTCCTACTCCTACTCCTGTTCTTGTAGGTCGGCTCTCCGGATCATCCCTCTCCAGTCAACCGGCAGGCAAGCCCACCAGCCCGTAAATTCCAAGCACCAAGGTCCATGCTCCATGCCACATAAGCAGCAGTGCTAGTGCTGGCTACATAGCGCGCCTAGCCCTCTCCCCTACCTGCGCTCCAAGGGCAGGTCTGGAGGTATACTCCACCTACCTCTGCCTTCGAGCTCGTTAGTGCTGTTTAGCATCTAACGCTCACCACCCACCACCACCAGCCAAACCAAGGACACAGTAGAGTAGAGTGGAGGATGTCCCACGCTCCCCCTCCTTCGCCAGCCCGAGCGCCCGCTCCTTCTCGCCCTCGAACACCCGCTCCTTCCCACACCTGCCGGCCTCGAACTCCCTCCTCCCGTCCGCGAACTCCAGCTCCAGCGCTAGACGTCCAAGTCACTCTCCCACCCTCCCTCCGCGCCTCTGCGGACCTCGTAATCCAGTCTTCGGACGGGACGCAGTTCCGCGTGCATAAGGCGTATCTGGCCGCCTCGAGCCGGTTCTTCGAGGACATGTTCGGGGACGAGACGCTAGCGTTCCTTAACGAGAGTCGGGAGGATAAACAGTTGCCTGTCGTTGAGCTCTCCGAATCGAGGTACACGTTGCGCACGCTCTTGCCTTGCGTTTACCCTGGGACGAAACCTCGCCCACCGTCGCTTCGCGTGCTTCGGGATACCCTCGTCGCTGCGGACAAGTATGACATGCCTAGTGTGAGGGACTCGATGCGGCCGCATCTTGTCTGGCCCGAGTTCTTGAGTACCAACCCGCTGCTGGTGTGGGCTATCTCGAGGCTGTTGGAGTTTGAGGAGGAGAAGAAGATCGCCATGGAGGCGCTCTTCGAGTTGAATGAGGAGGAGCTCTTTGCGCTAGAGATGGATGGCGTGGCTGCCTCGGATCTGGCGGTCGTGCATCTGCGCAGGCAGCAGAGGGCCGACGCGATCATCAGGGTCGTCCAGGACGTGCTTGCCAAGGACGAGGGAGACAAGACTCCCGCCAACTGCTATCGACCGATCTGCAAGGTGTGCAAGAGAGTCCCGATGTGGGTATACGTCTGGACGAAGCGCCTCGAGATCGATGCCCGAAAGAGACCAACAATCGACAAGCTCTTCTCGTACACTTCGCTCGAAAACGCCCGCCAGAAGTCGCCCAGGTGTCGATGCTCGCCTGACCTCATCATGTGGGATCCCAAATCCTTCGATGACTTGAAGAAGATCGTAGAAGACTCGGTCCAGCCTGTCAAGAAACGCAAATCGTCGCTCCGGTTGTCAAAGAGATTTGCCACATCATAGAATCTGCACAAATCGACCGTCGCAGAGGAGGCACGACGGTACGGTCTCGAGTAGGAGATCCACGAACCAACCATGGCTCATCTTGTTTTTCTCTCCCAGCTGGCTGGGTGGGAGATGCGCTTTCCTGCCGCAGCGCATACACGTTCTCACGTTCGGCGTTGCCAATGGCAGTGTGGTAATAGAGCAGCGTTCTGGAAATGGGCTTAGATCTCACAGGAGGAGAACGAGCGGAAGAACTTACCCCACACATGACCATTACTGCAGTGTGCCATTTCTAAGCTTCTCACAGGCATAGAGGCTTTGCATACTACACAGATATCCCCCACATCAATTGAACCATTCAGTTCGATTCCATCGCTGTTTCCATCTGTCTCCGTAGAGGAAGGCATGAGCTGATCTACTTTGTTGGATGCTGCTAATGCTTGCACAGCGACATCTGTACCGATCGATATTGGCATGCATTGAGATATACTGACAATCCGTCGCGCAAAGACAGGGTCATTCGCTAGCATCAAATTAAACCACACCCTCTCATCTGAGGATATTGAGAAACTTACCCAAGAGCAATGAAGAAGGATCAGCCGCCGTATAAGATAGCGCGGCGAAAATTAGGGCAAGTATGAGAGTTTGAACATATGGAATGCGGTCCGCAAATGAATAGCCAAATTTCTGCATATTCATTAGCGGTGACTGGGACGGTGTTGGGCAGCTCACATTCGCTAATTTGAGAATTGCCAATTTGTTCCGCAGCGTCGTGATCTCGTCGCCATCTATCAAGTCGACAATAAGTTGACATCGTAGCAGATCTTCAGTATCCGGCGTTTTCCATGTCAGCGAGGATCGGCTGAGGGAGGCATCCGTGGACTGAGATGGTGAAGCATCGAGGAGATGGTCCAGCTCACTCCTTATCGCGTCAGAGTTACGGTTTGCTTCCAAATCTAGATAGATTGGCAGAAGCTTTGGGGCCAAGCGAACAGGAGGACCGAATGCTGCTCCAGGAGTCGTCAGATAACAATCAAAACGAGATGAAGAAGGCCTGACGAGGAGTTGGCCGGAAGCACAGGGACTGAACATTCTGCAAAGACTGTGTGGTGTCATGACTCGGATCGAACAACTTTGCCAGGGTGACGGAAGTAATTTGACCAAATTCGGGCACATAATCGATGAAGGTTGGGAGTGTTTTCCTGCTCACAATTTTGAATAGACGTCCCCCACTCTGTACTTTACGCACTGATATGACCACAACGCCACACCACTAGAAACGAGATGGCAGCCGAAAGTTTGCATCACAGCGACATGGGGCGTTCCGGGCCCTTCGATGTCCATGCACGTCCGCCGCATTGCCCGAGTGATCTCTGCGGATTGCAACCGTGAGCCGGGCATCTCAAGGGTTGGATCTGTCGATACACTGTGAATCACGTGGATTGAACCATCGGAGTACGAGACCAGCAGAGCATCTTCCTTCACCAAGTAGTCTAAACCTGCATGAAAGTCAGATGGCATATACGACTTATGTACTTTTTGTTCACTTACCACTAGGTATTCCCAGGGCCGTAGAACCAAGAAAGACGGGTTGCTTTTGCACAACAAGGCGGCGTTCTCCGACCCAATCAAGACCAGATCCAGTTGGTGCGATAAGACCCAACAGACCTGGCTTGGCATATACAAGCACATGTAGAGGGTACGCTGCTAGTCGTTCAGCTTGACAGAACACAACTGCAGGTAGTGCTTACTTTGCAGATATACCCACCGCAGAGCTGTAAGACCCCTCAAGTCCGGCTGGACTAGAGCTGGTGAGGGAACTGCTTGAACCTCATCAAATGAGTGATCGGTAATTTTCTGCGTGACCGTCACAAGGTGGACAGAACCGTCGGATAAACCGCAGGCCAATACGGACGCGACTAGAGAGCCTGAGTTTCATTCGGAGGAAGGGGGGAACATGGCGGACCCGTGTCAGCATCCATCTGTAACCACCCAGCCCATGAGAGATGCGCAACCCATTCTTCTCCGAGGACGACAGTCGCTTGCCGCTTGCCGGATCTGGTTGATCATCAGCGATTTTCGAATTGAAAACGTATAGGACTCACCGCCACAACGACACTGTGCCCGCACGGCTTCCTAGTGCCAGAAGAGATAAATCTCTTGAAGACGGCACACCAGATGCCCGGACAGCGGCCGACCAAGCAAGGGCTTTACCCAATCAGTCGTCGCCTAATATCATGGGAGCCGCACTCACCTGTCGTCTGAGCTTGCAATGTCCTACGCAAGCTGCTGACCTTTGCCTTCCCGTTGATGGCCGATGATTTTGCAGTTTCCAATAATGCATCTGTCAGGGTGAATACCTGGAAGAATTTAGCTGGATGCCTCGAGGTAACTTGCGTGGCGCATTACTCTCAACCATTGACCATCAACGTAGTTCTTGCCTGCTCCGTACATAAAAACCTCGAGATTTGTTGTGAGAACGGCGAGAAGACATCTGCGGCCATGAGGAACTGTAGCACATAATCTACGATGTACTTACCTCCCATCTTGGCCCAGTCCTATGGGGGACCACGCGAAGTCCTTACATTGAATGGACACTGAGCCGGGTACCATAGTAGCCATGTCGAGTGACTCGTCTGCCCACGCAATGTGATCACCAAGCGCAATCTCAGCCACTGCTCGATAAACCTTCAACGGTTCTCGATCGGGCTTGCGAAGGGCTGGGACCGTGGCCACGTCCGCCGTTCCGGGGTCGTATGCTAGGCCGATGTCCGGCGTCTAGGCATAGTTAGCTACCCAACTGGTTGTGAATAGATACTTTGCACATACAAGTATGTGAATCCCTTCTTTGATGAGCACGCCAAACTGACCATCCTCGTTCTGTTGTATAGCGGTTGGGCATGACCGAGCAGGAGGTGCAGAAAGCTCCACAGCAATGTGGATATCAGGTTTCCATACCATTGTCAGCGTATATCACGGACAGGCACGAGATCGACAAATCGTATACAATAGATACAGTAGAAATGGTGAGCTGCAAGTTGGATGGGGACATGAGATTCAAACCAACAGGGAGGCGGGACGCGACGCGTTTTTCGTCTGCTCGTCGTCGACCTCGCTGGTGAACGCGTCTTACTCGCCGACTCTTTTCTCTCTTACATGTCGTCGATGTTTGACATATCTATCTTTGGGACCGCCTAGACGCTGCCCTCTCTGCCATTGTTATTTCGTGCAAGCAGATTTCAGCCGATTTACGCAAGATGACGGTCAGCCCCAGTCGTCGCTCCTCTATTGCATACCAACTGTGTACAGGACCTTGCTTTCTGTTACGTACACATGACCGACGGCCAGTTGCAACAAATAGACGACGACCTAGATGCAATGGACTATGGGTTGGAATTCGAAGGTGCGTCTGCTACCGTTGCTACTCTAACGATATTTCCGACTAACACTGGTTCAGAGGTCGAAGTGCCAGTCGAATTTCTTCCACCAGAACCAGATGACGAAGATCGTATGTTGTGCAGGCTATGATGGTGTTTGCTAGCTTAAAAGAGTGACAGGACTCCCCTCGCAAATTCATCCATCCTATCCTTATGGAAACCCAACCAAGGCACCGCATCCCTCAACAGCCGGCACCGTTCCGATGGGAATCCTCGGCGCACGAGCCCTCTTCGAGGATGTTGCCGTCGAACGGAAAGGTTTTCAAACACGGCCCAATTGGACCGATCTCGGGCTGGACCAGTTGTACCGAGCCGATCCTGAGCGAGTTGAAGCTGCTGCTGCCGCTGCTGCTAGACATACCAACCAGGCGAATCCTCAGGCACCAAACAATGGTGATGTACAACAGCCAGAAGCGGAGGAGGGAGAGGAGGGCGCGCCTGAAGAGGAACTCGAAGCTGGAGAGGAACAAGAGGAACAAGAGGCAGAAGAAGAGTTACCAGCATTAGACGATGGCAGTTTCTGAAGAGTGGTTCACTATACAATTGTACCATTATTCGTGGGTGTTTATCGTTGTAAACCTCATATCATTCGTTCAGTTCCTTCAGAACGGCCAAGTCTGCTCATTTAGAGCTTTCGGAGATCCTCGGATTAATTGATAAGATTACACATTATCACGTGTGTTGATTTCTTTCAGGGGATTCGCCCAGCATGCCAGCTGCGGAGCTTAGAAGGCCAGTTGCACTTGGCTGAGGCGTCCCTCTTTCTTACCTTTCCTTCACTTTGCTTCCCTCGTCGTCTTTTCAATGGCTAGTATCGAGGCTCAGGAAACACAGACGAAGACCACAGTCATGGATGAGCCGCAGAACAGCTTGACGCGCAAGTTCACCGAGACGGAGTGGACAGCACTGAAGGAGCTACGTGTGCGTTAACTCACGCGAATGTGTACTAATCGTGTTGTTACTCATGCGATTTGTTAGACGCTCCTTCCACTCATATTTGAAGAGTCCTTTCCCAAGAATGAGAATGCTCGACGTGATCCTCTAACTGTCTGGGGTGTGACGCTGGATCCCAACAGGCTGGATGCGAAAACTAGCGTCGTGTTGATGCACTTCCTGCGGGCGCAGTATGTCGCTCCATTGACTACCTTCATATGATGCTAATGCATTATCGTCTAGAACTATGAATGTCGAAGCCGCGAAGAAGATGTTGCTTGATACTCTGCGCTGGCGCGCCGAGTTCGATCCTGCGAAAGCAGCGGAAGAGCCCTTTGATGAGGCTGTCTTCGGGAAGGCAGGTCATATGTTTGGGCGGGATCCAGATGGCAGACCCATCCAGTACAACATCTACGGAGGGGATGTGGACACTACTAAGGTCTTCGCGGATTTGGACAAATTCATGAGGTGCGTCATAAGCATCACCATTTGCCTGAACTCGTGCTAATGAGACGTAGATGGCGCGTCGGTCTCATGGAGAAGGGCTGCATGGAGATGGACTTTGAGAACGTTGATCAAATGATCCAAGTCCATGGTGCGCTGCTGCAGTTTGGTCACGTTTGCTCCCCTTGATACCCCTCCCAGACTATCTAGGCGTTGGCCTTTCCAGTCGGACGCCGGAAAGCAAGGCAGCGGCAGCTGAGGCGACTAGGTTGGTCACGCTCCTGAATCTGCCGTACTCAATCGCTGACTGACTGTAGAATCTTCCGTGATTACTATCCCGAAACCTTGTACAAGAAGTTCTTTGTCAACGTGCCGGCGTTCATGACCTGGGTATTCTGGCTGTTCAGGCCTATGCTCTCAGCTCAGACTCTTGCGAAAATGGAGGTCCTCGGTATCAGTCCCATCACGATCGGTAAGGGTATGCTGCCTTACATCAAGGCAAGTGAGCTGCCGAAGCAATACGGTGGTGAAGCAGATCCCAACTGGTGATACCCCACACAGCTAGATGTAGTTACAGTGTGACAGCACCCCTCCTCTTGTACAGTGTCGCCGATTTTATCTGTTTGACCCATGTAATTAGAACGTGTTCAGCAACTGAGAGTGATTTCTCTGTACATGCCGGGATGCCGCTCCCATCGTCATTGTATCCCATTTCAACCCTTGACAACGGTGATCAGAGAAAGAGGACCCCGAACCATCATCAAGGATCCCGCCCTGGACCGGGAAAAGGAGGATGACGACCGAGTGTATCGTCAATTCATTTCAATGATGTGGATATCTCGGGTTTGTTGGCTCTACTCCACTATTAGCGCCCTGCTCTTCGACCGCTCTTGACTGAGGTTTCTCTCTCTCAACGGCTAATATGAGGGGCGAGTTCAACATTGAGGACGAGCTGCAAAACAGCATCACTCGCGAGTTCAAGCAGAACGATTGGAAAGCGCTTATCGAACTCCGGGTTTGTGCAGCTGCGGTACGGTATTGTCGATCCCAATTGATTTGATCATATATGTAGGACCAGCTACCCCATATTCTCGAGGAGGCATTCCCAAACGAAGAGAAGGTCGGACTACTGCCTTTCAACATATGGGGCGTGACGACCGATCCCCTCGAACCGAGTGCAAAGGCTAGCGTCGTGCTTATGCACTTTCTTCGCAAGAGGTACGCATTTCTTCTCACTCGCCTAGCAATATTCATCAATGTCTACATGGTAGGAAAGTCAACGTGAAGGCTGCAGGAAAATTGCTGGTGGAGACACTGCGCTGGCGTGCGGAAGTACGGCCGGAGGAGATCGCCAAGGAAGAATTCGACGAGTTGTCTTTCGGGAAGATCGGAAATCTCTTCGGGAAAGACAATCAAGGACGACCTGTGCTTTATATGAGAATGGGGCGGGACGCAGAGTTGATGAAGGTCTATGATGATCCGGCCAAATACGTAAGGTATGCCGGCTACGCGTAGGCAGTTACGTGTCATGCTCATGCGGTAAAAGATGGCGGATTGGTTTGATGGAGAGGACATGTCTGGCAGTGGACTACGAGACAACTCACCAGGTAGTGAGTGTCATGGGTACGTTTGCTGAACGTTGTCAGGATGCAGCTAACGGGATGCTTGGCAGACTTCCGTAATTTTCGTACAGACAATCATCCGGGTAAGAAGAAGGTCGAAGAAGAGATCCAAAAGTAAACTGCCTCGAGTACAAACATTTGCGTCTCGAGTTCTGATGCTGAAATACAGGATCCTGCCATTCTACCCTGGGATGGGATGCGAACTATTCCTCCTGTATACTGTGACTCCAACATTATTGAAAGTATTATTCTGGGTCATCTTGCGACCTTGGACGACTGCGGTCAAGCATATGCACGTTTTAGGGGACAGTCCCAGCGCCATAGCTGCCGGAATGCTGCCTTTCATTCCGGCATCCGAGTTGCCTAAGCCGTACGGGGGAACTGCCGAGCCGAAATGGTGAGGGTGCTCTCGAATTTTAACCCAGAGCAACAAGCTCAACCACACTCTTCAGGTGCACTGGCCCAGGTTGGGAGGTTGGTAGCCGTCCGTAGTATTGATTTGGCCGGCAGAGACCGGAGTGTGCAGTCGCTGGTATCCAAATATGAATAGGCCTATGGCGTCGATGTAGTCATCCCTTATGTCATCCTGTGTAATTTGCTATGTATGCTACTTCTCGTGACGAGATCCGTTGTCCTGTCTGTAGTGACCCAGTTCGTTGAGCAGTCAATCAAGATGACAGAGTGATATCAGCACAACGCCGCGGCCATCACCCGGTGCTTCCCTGTCGGTACCGGTCGCATGTGCGCACGTCGGCATTAATATTCCCCCGCTCACAGCCACTAAAGGCAGTCCCACAACGTTCCAAGGAACAGACGGTTGCTGTACATCCTTCCAATACGTACGCTCTCCCTTTCTCCTCCACCGGTGTTCCTTCCCTCTTCTACGTCTACGGATCTGGACATACCGGCAAGATGTCGAGCTTTGACAAGATTGTCAGGATGGCATGCAAGCCCAAGGCGGCACCGCCGAAGGCCAAGGTGCGTTCAACACCCTACGTCATAACGACAGGAGGTTGCTTACAGATAACGCAGTATCTTGACCCAATTGTAATGGCGACCTATTCGGACGACGGTAGCGTTGGGGATATATTCAAAGCCCTTGCTCCGAGGCTGCGTGAACCAAATGCAGTTGTACGTCCCGAACGAACACGTGGTTGACAGCAGCTTAACCCCTGAATGGTAGATTGTCTTCAAGGCACTCATTGTATTACACACGATGATGCGAAACGGGTCGACGGACAATGTGTTAACTTATTTGGCTGAATCTGATGCTCTTCGACTGCGTAATGTCGCTCAGGGGCAATGGGATGGTGAGTCCAACTTGGTCAAGTGTTTCGTTACGCGTCGCTGAGGGTCTGGTACAGGCTACGATGCTCCGGATAATCTGATCCGATATGCGGCATACCTCGAAACTCGGGTTCGATCCTATCGTGACTTGAAGCACGATGCCATTCGCGTTCAGTCGGAGTCTAACCGTGATGCTCATGGCAATAATGAAGCCAACGGTAGTGCCACAACTTCTCGGAAGAAGAATGACAAGACTGCCAGCAGTGCCCCTCAACGGAGTAAGACCATCATGGGCAGGAAGCTCCGGATCATGTCTGTCGAGAAAGGCCTACTCCGAGAGACCAAGATTGTGCAGAAGCAGATGGATTCACTGCTCGCCTGCAAGGTGAGCTATTTTTAGACTATGTTTATGGGCTTAGGTGAACCTTAATTTCCAGTTCTATCTGGACGACCTTGAAGACGGTGAATTGACGATCACGGCTTTACGATTGCTCGTTAAGGACCTTTTGGTTCTTTTTCAGGCAGTCAACGAGGGCGTGATCAATGTTTTAGGTATGAGCGCTTTGTTCTTTGGATTGGATCAATTAAACTCAATTCATTCAGAAAACTATTTCGAGATGTCTCATATCGACGCCGAAGACGCACTCAAAATATACCGACACTTCTGCAAGCAGGCGGAAATTGTTGTGGAATATCTGAGCGTGGCGAAGAAAATGCAGAACCTGCTTAATGTGCCGATACCCAATCTCAAGCATGTGAGTACTCAGCACTGTTCAGTCTGTGTATGGCCATTTATTCGAACATTCTAGGCCCCTGTGTCCCTCGCTGGTGCATTGGAAGAATATCTGAACGACCCTAACTTTGAACAGAACAGATTGGAGTACAAGCTGAACAAGGACATCTCTGATGGCAAGGCTCCCGCAAAGCCACTGCAAAGCCAGAAAGAAGCACCTAAACTTCCAACTGCCATCAATACTGCACAGACGTCCACCTCTCAAGCTGGTTCAAGTCAAGCCCCTCCATCCACCGCAAACAAAGACCTTGTTGATTTCTTCGCCTCCATCGAATCAGGTCAACACGATATGTTCAACCCGCACACTAATAGGTATGTTTAATTTAATGCGGCGTGGACTTCACTCATAAGGGTCTTATAGTCCAAACAGCCTATACTTCAATCAACAAGCAGCGGCAAACCCCTTCGGAAATCCCTTCCACGGACGTCAATCGATGTTTATTCCTCAAACCACAGGTGCTTTCCCCGGTGCTGCCGGCGTTCCGGGCGCTATGCCCTTCGCGCAGCCTCAGCTGACCGGCTTCCCCAATCCGTTCGGTGCGGGAATGCCCAATACCCTCCTTCAGCCAGTCCAGACTGGCGTCCCGTCCGCTTTTGCGCCGGCACAACCAATAGCACAACCGAACCTCCTTCAACCGAATCTCCTCCAACCCCAGCCTGGGCTCTTGCAGCCCCAGCCGACTGGAAATCCTTTCCGTCAGAGCATTTTACTCCCCCAGAGCACCGGTATGCCCTCCATGGGTGTCCCCTCTATGGGCATGAATCAGCAGCCAGTAACTCGCACGGCCCCTATAAGATCGATGTCTGCGTTCGAAGCTCCTGCAGCACAGTCGACCGTACAACCGACACAGCCTGTATACTTCCCAACAAGGCCGTTTGGCACACAATCTCTGTCTGGACCCCAGCGTCCTGCCTCGACACCTTTAACTAATCTGTTGTCTGCCTCGACGGCAGGTGCAGACCGACCTGCCGCGGCGCCTCTCCTTCCCATGAAGACTGGCTCTCGTAATCCGTTTGCACCCTCGACGGAGATTGCTGCCCCACCTCCACCACTCCCAACAATCCAGCCTACGTTGAATGCTCTTCGCACCGGCGCACCTTGGATGATGCCCTCTCACCATCAGCCTAATGGTGGTCTACCTACCCTTGCCGAATCGCCTGTTTCGGAGGTGCCTAAAGCGAACGGGGATGGAGCTCCCCCTTCGACAAGCGTGATGTCTGGTATTGCGTCATCCTTTGCGAAGCCAGAAGACCAGAATAAAAATCAGTTCCATCTGTCCGCCTTCAGTGGGTCCACCAACTTTCCCTCATTTTCCACGTCCACTGCCACCGCGAGCAAACCGAATGCCCCTGCACCAACTCCATTCCCAGGTGCTGGCCAAAGCACCACTCCGTTCTCTCTTGGTGCCTTAGGATCCACTAATGGTCTGGACAACAAGCCTGCTGCTAACCCTCTCGCTACTCAACCGACTGGCTTCGCGGGTAGTAGCGTGAAGCCCTTCCAACCTACATCCTCCTTCGGTGCATCACTGTTGGCTTCATTGCCTCCAGTGAGCTCGGAGACTCCTGCCCCTTCCTCTACTTTGATTAACGGACCCAACGCATCCACGGGTGGTATGCCAGCCTTCGGCGGTGCGTCGTTTTCAGGCGCTTCATCCCTGGGCACTGGCACTAGCAGCGCTCCTACCGGGGTGACCAGCGCGCCAACCGGTGCGAGCAGTTTCAGTGGACTCTCGTCAAGCACATCTGCGACCTCTCAGCCATCCCAAATCGGTCAACCTAGCGCATCTCAGTCGTCTTTCAGTCAAAGTCTGGGGCCTTCCAGCTCATTTGGGAATAGTCTCATGCCTCAGGTCACAGGGATGCCAAATCCCTTCAGAGCCTCAATGTTCAATCCTGGAGGGGCTACATCACCTCCTTTCCCAGGAGTTGGAGGCACTGGGCCTGTCGGCTCTACACCATTCGCCTCCCAGCTATTCGCGCCGAGTGGGAATTTAAGTGCCTCAACCTCGCCGTTCGGCCAACCACCGTTTAGCCAGCAGCCACAGAAGCAGTCGACTCCGTTTGGATCGTTAATTTAGCTCTGTATTCATCCTGTATATATGGTTCCTGAGTCATTTGTATGCCCTACGCATATACATTCTTAGCGCTTGGTGTAGGCTGTGATTTATGAGTTTGCGGATGGATTTAGTGCCAGCGCGTGCCGCCCTATTCAGCCACCAACGCGTCAAGGGACGCGACTTGATTCATTACACTGTGGTGCTCGCACTCATCATCTCCCCACATTCGACGAAGTAGCTTCTCCTGATTGAAAGATGTCTGCTAACAACGGTACCGATAAGTCTGGAGATCGCATCCAGGAGTTCGTGGACCTCGCTCAGCGCGCATACGCCCTGCGCAAGTATGAAGAGGCAGTAGAGAACTATGCCAAAGCCTTGGAGGCATTGTAGGTCAACGTCGTTCTACGCGCTTGGACCATTGGTCTGAAATCATTGTACAGTACTGAAAAGCACGGCGAGAACTCCCCTGATTCAGCTGATCTGCTCTACAAATACGGAAAGGCGCTCCTGGAGAACGCAATCTCCCAGAACTCCGCGCTTGGCAAGGAGCCACCAGTACCTGAAGCAGTTGGTTCGTACATACCTTCTTGTCGTTAATTAATTACGTATCCGTCACAACAGAGGAAGAAGCGCCTGCTGACAAGAGTGGGAAGATCATTATTTCGGGCGATGCGGAAGATGTGGAGGAGGAGGAGGATGAAGAAGACGAGGATGAGGAGATGGGTGAAGTGATCATGGAGGGTCAGGAAGCTGTCAAGCTCGGTGAGGTTGGTGGCAAGGAAGAAGAGGACCAGGAAATGGAAGACGCCGAGCCTGAAGACGATTTCAACGCAGCTTGGGAGGTGCTTGACCTTGCCCGCGCATTCTTCGAGAAGGGTGATGCCGACGAGACCAAGCTCAAGCTCGCCGAGACTTATATCGCATTGGGGGATATCTCGCTAGAGACAGGTAAGCATTATCATGCAAATATAGCGCATACATGCTGACTTGACGACCAGAGAAATTCGACCAAGCCTTGCTGGACTACACCTCTGCGTTGAAGCAGAAGAGTGAACTCCTCCCGATCTCGTCGCGACAGATTGCAGAGGTCCACTACAAGTTGACGATCGTCTGTGACCTTACGGTCGGAAAGTTGCAGGAGGCTATCACACATGCTGAGGGAGCGAAGCAAAGCCTGGAAGCACGCCTCGTTTTGCTGAAAGCAGCCCAGGAGCAACAGACTCTGCCTGTCGAAGCGAATGGAAACGGCAAACAGACTTTGGCTAGCAAAGAACAGGCAGGCATAAATGCCATGAGCAAAGAGGAACTGGCTGCGGAGATCAAGGACATCGAGGAACTCAGGGGCGAGATGACCGCTAAGGTATATATGTCTAGTTCCAACAATGCAGATGTATGCTCACCATTGGCTAGATCGATGACTTGTCACAGGCACCCGAGCAAAGGGAAAGCGCGCCGGATGCGGCCAACCGCGCCCTGGATGAACTTCTCGGCGGCCCCTCAAGCTCGCTGAAGGATGCGATTGTAAACGACCTGACTGGGGTTGTCAAGAAGAAAAAGAAGGCAGAGGTAGATACAAAGGAGGTAGCGAGCCCTACGCCCTAATTACTGATATTCTGTGCGTTCCGTTCTCCCTCTCCAGTAGTATTAGATTCAGCCCAGCTATATGTAGCGTTTGCAATGACACGGAATGACTAGGAGTTATCCTTACCAAACATACATATTCTGTTGTACAACCTTTACAAGGCTTTCAGAATGGCAAACGAGTAACCCCTTGTATCTTCTGGTGCAAAAATGGCTTCTTCCCAGTCCCAAACTCTCCAGCAATACTTCCCTTCCCATCCGCACTGCGTATCATATATTTATAGATCACCAATCCTTCCAGCCCAACAGGTCCACGAGCATGCGTCCTACCGGTCGAGATGCCGACCTCCGTTCCCAGTCCATACCTGAATCCATCCGCAAATCGTGTGGATGCGTTCACAAACGTGCCTGCACTGTCCACTGCCCTGCAGAACAACGTCCCGTTCTCCGCGTTTTCCGTGACGATGGCGTCGGTGTGATGAGATGAGTGCGCGTTGATATGCTGCACGGCCTGTGATAGGGAGGACACAACCTTGACAGCGAGGATCAGGTCGAGGAACTCGGTGTCGTAGTCTTCTGTCGTAACTTCGCGGACGAGTGACGCAAATGACTTGTTATTGCTCACCTCCGAGGACGATCGGAGTCCCGCAAGAGATGCGGCATCACACCGCAGCTGGACTCCCTTATCCAGGAGAGCGAGCGCGACCTTGGGCCAAACTGTGGTAATGAGGCTCTCGTGAACGAGCAGCGTCTCGGCGCTGTTGCATGCACTGGGATAGTCGCACTTGGCATCAACAGCAATCCGCACTGCCTTGGTTCCATCCGCGCTTGCATCGAGGTATACTGCACAGAGTCCATCTGGGTGACCCATTACAGCGATCCGTGAGGCCTTCTGGATACTCCTAACGAGGGCGTTCGACCCGCGCGGGATAACGAGGTCGATGTATCGGTCTTGGGACAGAAGAGCGGAGATCTCCTGACGGGTTTGGACGGATTGGATGAACGAAGGAGAGAGGGGGGAAGTGGAGAGCGCAGATTGGACGATGGAGGTCAGGAGTGCGGCAGTATGAGCCGACTCCTTGCCACCCTTGAGAATAGCAGCGTTACCTGTAGAAATGTTAGCATAGATATATGATGTTCATGAATATGGACATACCGGACTTGATAGCCAACGCGGTGATGTTGACCACCACCTCTGGCCGTGACTCGAAAATTACAAGCAGTACGCCGATCGGACATGTCACCCGATACAATTCCATCTCTTCATCTAGATTGGTGGCATACGTGACGTGCCCTGTTGGGTCGGGCAGAGCAGCCACGTCCGAGATCCCTTGCAGCATGTCATCGAACTTGCTGCCCTTTGTAAGGTCAAGTCGTTTGACCAACTGCTGCGAAAGGCGGCCAGCCTGCACTTCCTTTTCTGCTGCCTGTTATAATATCAGCCCACAAGATCTAATATAAATTCGAAAATGATTACGCACCTCGAGGTCTAGACGATTTGCCTCGAATACCTTGTCCCTGCTCGCCTGCAACGCCCGACGAATGCTCTCGAGGACATCATTCCGCTGCTCGGTCGTGACAAGTTGAGATTCCTCATACGCTGCTTTCGCCGCTTTGGCGATCTCTTCTGCCGACTTGAGAATGCCGTTTGAGGTCCCACTGGTTGTAGTCATGAAGGATAGATGGAATGACCGAGTCAGGGACTACTGAATAAAAGGTACAATTTCGTAAAGATGCACAGGGTCCACTTCTACGGAGATGCTCCCATCAGGTTCAAGCTCATTGTCGGCGTCGCGTGACCTCTGCGTCACTCTCCGATATACCGTCGACTTCTGCGTTGCCATCATTTTCTCCCTGGAAAACCATTCTCATGGCCACCAAGTATATTCCCCCTGAGCCGACTAACTCCGGGCCGGAGCCAGCGCCGACGGGTCAGCAGCCAACGAACTACAAACAGGTGTTCGAGGTACGCCCGGTTCACTCAGCACCCTTACATGTACGATCGGCTCAATTTGCCTGCACAGGGGAGAGTGGTGACAAAGTTCGTCGAGTGCGTTATGTTGCCTACATCTTGGGATCATGTTGCTGATCGGGCGATCTCGGATACCTCCAGCCCATGCGAGCAGGCAGCCAAGGAGTCCATGGCATGCCTCAACAGGCATAGTTACGACCGCGATCAGTGCTTGGATTTCTTCCAGGCATATCGAGGTGTGTTGTTGTGATATATGTGTGATGGCCCGGTTCTGATCAAAGTTTTAGATTGCAAGCAGGAATGGGTATGTCCTATCTCAACAGGATTTGACTCTGTTTGATATGCGTGTGTAGCTAAAACAACGACGGGTGGATCGTGCGAATCGGCAGTGATCACGAATTCGCTGACCGTATCATGTAACGTGGTGCTGTCAAATAGTGTATCTATACGAGTACAACGCCCCCGGCTTATTTATGTTCGAAAACGGTTATGATCACAAACCGTTTGCGTGCGATTTGTTCCGGTCGTTGAACACATTACAAATCTCGAACAAAAAGACGAGTACATCAACTGCACGAATCAGATACACGGGCCTTCTGTGACTGTTCGCATGTATTCAGGCCGCTGCAACCCGTTGTCTCTTCCTCCTCCCTTCCTCAGGACCGTGTTCGTCGCCATTAATCCCGTCCTTCTCTCCCTTCAGCACACTCCGCACAACCGTCTCCCACATGGTGTCATTGACGCCTTTTGCCCGTCCCAGCTGTCCCCGCAGCTTGGCTACTTCGTTCTCGAGGTCTGATACCCGCGTTTGCAGGGAAGCGACCGACCCGTCCGGAGCTGAAGAGGGCAGGTCCGAGAGGAAGTACGAGTGATGTTGCTGCACTTGGTCAGAAATGGAAGGTAGCTGCGGTACAGTCTGGTAATATCATCAGCTTGTGCCAGGGACGCAAATGGACGATGCAAACCTCGTCAAGGGCAAGCAACATCATCGGCACATCATGCCGTTCCCTTGCTCTCTGGTCCTTGACCCGTTGGAAGGCCGCGATAGGCAAAATGGGTATCTGCTCCTCTTTATTCCCGAAGCCTAAAGGTGCATGCCCCAGCAGATCAGGAGGTCGCAGGAGGGTGGCAACCATGTCTATTGTGTACCCTTTGTGCACGTTAAGTGAGCGGATAAGCTGATGTGAGGGGATATCGTATATTAGGATGGACCCATCGATTGTGCCGGCGAGTAACATTGCCGACGTAAGAGAGATGGTGAGGGATCTAAGAGGTTGCCTATAGAATCCATGATTTAGAAGGTATATAATGTTATAGAAAGTATACACACTCAGATTTCATCTTTCGGATATCATCTCCCCCTTCGCCCAGCCGTATAGCCTCGGCTCCACCGCCGCCTCCAACAGCCTCCATTCGAAAGCCCGACGCGCCTGGTCGTTGTCGAAAGAGGTTCATCTGGAAGATTTCGCCTTCCGCAGAGGCTGCGAAGAACGTTCGTTCTGTTCGTTCGACTGCGATGAAGGACAGGGGGGAGGGGAAGACGAATGTGGTCATGAGGGTTTTTGTGGTGATGTCCCAGATCTGTGTACAACTTTAGCACGGCCATGAAGGATGCCACAGCGGAAATACCTTGCATGTCGAGTCAAGTGATACTGTGAATAACCTACAGCCGGGGAAGGCACCCATGCCCCATTGCAAGTCCATTACAGCAAGCGTGTGGTCTGTCGGCATCCAGTACGGCATAGGGAGCCCAGTTTGTAGCTCGTTATCCAGTAAACTAGGTCAAGGGTGAGCAAACAAAATTGGATGAGGACACGCAAATTACCTAGAAATGAGCCAGACGCTGACTCCTGAATCCTCGCTCCCTGTCGCTAGAGCCGTCCCATCGTCCGAGAACCGCACAACATTGACTGCACGGTAGTGCGCATCGAAAGCGGCAAACAATATACCCGAGGAAACCTATTCCAACGCATCATAAAAGGAGATGAAAAGGAATTCGGGGCAATCAGCAGACCTCCCATAAATAGAGTCGGCCTTGTGATGTTCCTCCGGCACAGAACCGGCCTTGCCGATCAATAGCCAGGCACGAAAGTTTCTCGGGAACGGCAATGCGCAACATTATCTGATCCTGAAATCCAGCGACAGGTATCAGATAAATCAGACAAGCATCACATAGAGAGAGGCGCGACCTTCTGAAAGCTATATGCGTGCACGAGTGTCTTCTCTGATTGAGCAGCGAGAAGGACCCCACCCTGCCCTTGGGTAGACGGAGCAAACGTAGTACAGTGCACAGGAGCAGAGGTCTGCTTGAAAGATGCCAGAGTCGTCCCAGTTTGTAGGTCATGGATGTATATCCCACCCGCTCCGCTGGCCGGCGAGGAGGGACCAACAGCGCAAAGTATCACTTCCTGAGGCTGAACCATCCGAGGAAATTTTAGAACAGACAGGAACAGGAGAATCCCAGTAAAGGTATCAGCACTACAGGCACAGATTAAAAGCCCCAGATATCTTGGTAGAACAGCAAGTGGCTGACAAGCTGTTCGCACAGTCAGAGTGTCGCGGAAAGTGCAGCGTCAAGATGCAGAACAAAATTCGGCCGCGGAGATGGTTCGGCAGACGTCAGTGGCTGTGCTGTATAAGTAGCTATTATTCTCAACATGTGGGACAGCCTGGTGATACTCCTTCATATGAACATTACTTAAAACTCACACCTCTAGGTCAAAGGTCATTCTAGTGGTGTCGAGGTCACCTCCACAGATATAAGGAGAGGAAGAAGGAATAAGGTTCTGGGCAACAGAATGCGAAGTCCCAATGTTCGAACGCATAGCGCTGTTTTCTGACGACATTTATCGCCTATTTCTGTTACGTGGACTTCTCACACACAACACCATCATTGATCGATCGATTCATGTGGGATGCTCAGGTTCAATTGTCCTTCCTAGAGAGGGTAACTATATGACATGAATATGTAGCGAAGGAGATGCCACATTGTACAACAACGATGGCAACTGCTGATCAATACCATACATTCATATCGGAACCCATGCGGACCCCTTTGTTCGGGGCAGGGTGGTTCACACGCAACTGAATAGCTGAGGGATCTCGAGCATAGAAATACGGGCCGACATCCTGCCTCATCCCAGAACCAGAAGCAAGGCAACACGACGGTCTATAACACCTTGAGGCCGATCTGGGGTACCCGGTTGTCTAGGATATCAGCTAACTCGCTTTCCCTTACTGATGAGCACAAGGCGACGTCAGAACGTGGGTGTGATTGTAGACTTCAGGGAAGGCAGTAGTTGCGCTAGAACAGGGTACCTCATCTTTGAGGAAGGGTGAACAGACGTCTGCCGGTGCAGCGGCAACATCTCCGTAGTGACGGTGGATGACAGAGAAGAGGCGGTTGCTGGCGGTGTCGATGTGGCGGTGAGTATTGTCATGTAGGATTGCTTCCATCCGCGCGTTATGCCCAGAACAAGGCAAAAGGGCGCTTACACTTGGTCCCATCCATTTACACTCACTCGGCGATCCGCATCGCTCGACGACGACGACGACGACGACCTCGTCCTCATCCGTCCGCTCATCGCTATTCAGACTGGACCATCTAGGTTGAACGTAAACCAACTTACCAAGAGCGGCCATGGTGCCTCTCCTGTACAAAGCTAAATGGCGAACACACGCCGCTTCAGGCTCTGGAGGCGAGCAACACAGCCCACGATCCTCATCTTCATGCCCCAGCCCCGGAATCACTAGGGACATTAATGAGTGGGACGAGGGCGCGGTCTATCAGTGGATGTGCACACTTGGACCGGGGTTTGAGCAGTATGAAAAAAAGCTGAAGGGTGCGCACCTTTCTGCTACTACGACACCAGGATGGAAGCTTACAATTGTGATAACAGAGAATGGGATTACGGGCGATACACTTGTGCTGTTGAACCAAGATGAGCTGAAGGAAATCGGCATCAGCAGTGTCGGCCACCGTCTCTCCATCCTCAAAGCTGTCTACCAGATCAAGGTCGCGCAGCACATCCCTATCGAGCCGGATCAGTATGTTCCACCGTGTATGCCGTTTTTTTGGATGAGGCCGAGGGTAGACTAACTAGATGATTGTCTTCAGCAGAGTCGATTGCGAGTGCGACACCTCCCCCGACAGAACCGCAGGAGCAGCCTATGTACGAGCGAATCCTGGCGTTGATAGAACAACAAAGTACGGTCTCAGCTTGTTTTCAACCTATTGATTTCTGATTCTTTTCACTGAAGATACTCGTCTTGCGGCTCTAGAACAGGAAAACTATCGCCTTCATGAGTCCCTCGACGAGCTGTTGTCCAAGAGCAATGGTGGCCTTCCTAGTTCTGACTCCGCTGTAAGCGAAATTATTCCATTTCTGTCCCAGCTTCCTACTCATTCCGCACAGGGTGCTCAGGAAAAGCAGCTCCGTCGACAGCCCTCTGTCAAGTGGGCTCCATACGGCAGCGACACGTCCCCAGCAGCAGACATGCCTGACTTTCCCCATCTTTCACCAGAAGCAGCAGAACACGACATCCCTGGCCGCTTCCCTGGTGACAGGAAGACACCTACGCGGGCCGACCGCCCCTCCTCCGCACGTGAACGGCAGTTCCCTAGAGGAGAGCGCCCACCATCGCGGAACGATCTCCGTCGTCCCTCTACTTCTGCTGGACACAGTTCGGGGCTCTCAACTCCCGTATCGGGCCGACCTGATATCGATCGCCCCCATTCGCGTACGGATGGTCGTCCTTCCACCTCCGGACATACCCCCTCTTCAGCTAGCCTTACCCCCAACACCGATCGCATCCCCGGCCGGCCATCTTCTCGCACAGACATCCGCGAACCGGAACGGAGGCCGTCCACTTCCGGTGCCGCCTTACCCACGGCGTCTTTATCTCCGGAGTACGCCCGCTCGCCCCAGAGTGCAGTCTCTCAGACTTCGGGCGAAGAAAATATGTTAACACCAATCACTACGATCACTACCTCAGGTAGCATCATGTCGTCTGGCTTGCCCTCCTCTATCCCCACCGCATCTGGGCTCATGCCACACAGCGCGCTTCCTCATTCTGCAACCGGAAATGGCTCGCGCTCTAAGGGCAGCCGAAGAGGGGACGGTATGCGAGACCGGGTCGGCAGCTTACACAGCTTGGAGGATCCGTGCTGGAAGGTGCTTCCCGCGGCACTGAAGAAGTATAATATCAAGGATGACTGGCAGCAGTATGCGCTGTTTATCAGCTATGGGCCTGCTGGAGGCGGTACGTTCTTCACATCTTTGTTGAAAGCTTCAATAGGAGTGCTCATGGGAAAGTAGATCGGTGCCTAAACTACGATGAGAAGCCTCTCCTGCTCTTTAGTCAGCTTAAAGAGAGAGGGAAGAACCCTGTATTTATGCTTCGACATATCAAAGATATCAAGTCCCCTATCGCGATCTCTGAGGAGAAAGCGGCCAAACGGAGCTCAGCGAGCAAGGTTGAGCACGGCGGTGTTGCCACAAATGGGCCATTGCCATCTCCCTTACCGCCATCGAAAGGGGATCGACCCCCTCAACTGTTGAGATCTAAGGCTTCCATGGGTCTGGATCAGGACGAGATGGAAGGCGGGCATGGTGCGCTCAGGCAGGGCGACGAGATCGAGACGCTTGAAGAGCCGGTGTCTACTATTGCAATATACCCGCATATAGCTGAGCAGGCGGACGAGTTTGATGTCAAGATGTGCGCCTTTCATTCACTGAAGGGTTCTAGGGCTGATGTATTAATTCAGGGGAGATTCCTTCATCATTCTCCAACGGTTCAAGGGTTGGTGGGTTGCCCAGCGCGATCTCTCTGGCGATGGGGTAGTTGACCCAACGGCTGAGCGTGGGTGGGTCCCTGCTGGGTGCCTACTCGAGCTCACCAGCACTCGTTCGCTTGCCTTCGCCCGTCTCTCGCGGAACGGTCGCACACCTAATGGCGACCCGGCCCTTATTCCTATGATGGCGTCCAGTATCACTTCGACGCAGTTCCCTGCATTCGCGTTGAAGGACTATCAGGCGAGTGGCAAGTATGAGTTGACTCTCAGGAAAGGGGATGCGTTAAGAGTCTTCAAACGATATAATCATTGGGCCTACGTGCGTGGTTTCACATCCTGCATTCATAAGCGTGAACTGAAAGTTCAACAGGCTATTAAAGACGCCACAGGCGAGCGCGGCTGGTATCCCTCGTGGTACGTTGCCCGCAGCTTTTCCTCAGGCGGTGTCCCAGACCACGTCTCATCGGGCACGCTCACTCCACGAAACGGCACCCCCGCGACTACACCCGCCACAGGCCCTGGCGAGGGACCATCACCTCTTAGTGCTATTTCAACAACTCCGACAACTCCAACGTACGCAAGCACAGAGTCGGGCAGCGCTGTAGACGAGCAGGCACCATCCCCGCTAACTATCACATACCGGACGCTTGGAAGGTCACAGGCTGCAGTGGGTGCATGAGCTTCAGGGATAGAGGAGGAGAAAGGATGTAAGAGTTTAATATGCGACTGTCACTTACGAGGTTCATGATGTATCGGATTACTCACCTTCTCAGCTTGTGCTTTGCGGAAGCCGCGTACGGCTATGAGTCACTCGTTTTAGTTATCTTGCACTTTCCCTTTTCATCGCTCAATTGCTCCACGATCGCTCACCAAAATAGTTCGCAAACATGTACTTGTACAATTAGTCCATTTCATGAATGATACCATTCTTGTTCTGCAATCGATGAGTTGATGTGGTGGTCATGCTACACGGAGGCAAAGACGCGCTTCTCCAGAGGCAAGGGTACCTAACCCTAACCTCTCTCCTCACCAGACCTACGTAGGGCCACGGTTGTATACTTTGACTGCCTGAATAACCATATCCACCCTTGACAATGGATGTTGCGGAGCGCGAAAATCTCGAGGCGATACGGAGATACACGAAGGAGTCCAAGATCGGAGAGGGTACATTCGCTGTCGTGTACAAAGGTACGTACCCAACCCTATGACGGCGCTGGCCCATTCACTGATTGGCCATTCAGGACGACAGTTATCAACGGGGAGACCAGTAGCCATTAAAAAGATCAAAGTTGGACAGTTTAGAGATGGACTTGATATGACCGCTATACGAGAAGTCAAGTTCCTCCAGGAACTCAAGCACCCCAATGTTATCGAGGCGCGCTTGCTTCCCCTTCCTTGATCGCGGCTTGCTCACTGACTGAAAGTGCAGCTATTGGACGTCTACTCTAACAAGTCGAACTTGAACCTAGTCCTCGAATTCTTGGACTCGGACCTGGAGATGATCATCAAAGACCGAAATAACGTCTTCAAGCCAGCCGATATCAAATCGTGGATGGCGATGACATGTCGCGGGCTCGAGTTCTGCCATCGGAATTGGATTCTGCATCGCGTGCGTTTCCAGCCGCGGTGATGGTATGTTAGATTACTAACGTGCGAAATCAGGATTTGAAACCGAACAACTTGCTGCTCGCAGCGAACGGCGAGCTCAAAATCGCCGATTTTGGTCTTGCCCGGGACTTCACCGACCCTGGCTCTAAGATGACTTGCCAGGTGATCACCCGTTGGTACCGCCCTCCAGAGCTCTTCTACGGATGCCGGGCGTATGGTACCAGCGTCGACATGTGGTCTGTTGGGTGTATATTTGCCGAGCTCATGTTGCGGGTGCCGTACATGGCAGGGGAGAGTGACTTGGAGCAACTGAAGATTATTTTCCGAGCTTTGGGATCACCGACTGAAGATACCTGGCCCGTATGCCATTTATGTGGGGTGTGAAAACGGGTGATTTATGATCTTCCAGGGGCACACCAAGTTGCCGGATTACGTCGATCTGGGCAAGTTCCCGAAGCCGAACATGCAGGATCTCTTTACCGCAGCCAGTCAACCGGCCCTTGACCTCATGCAGAAGCTTCTGTTATACAACCCACTCCAACGTATTTCTGCTAAAGATGTGCGTATATGCATATGTCTTCATAGTCACTGATTGACGGCGAGCTTCCTTAGGCGCTTCATCACAAATATTTCACATCGCTGCCCCATCCGACGCACCCTTCAAAACTTCCCAGGACAGGACAGCCCATGAAAGCCAGACCGCTACCGATCGATGAGCTCGAAGGTAAGGGTGCCACTGTGACGGGCCAGGGTGCTGCAAAAAAGCGGAAGTCCACAGTCACAGACGATGGAAGATCCAGGAAGGTTGCACGAAAGCTCGAGTTCAAATGAGTGCTGCAGTACGAGCTGCGGCGTGTTGTGACATTAATAACCTACTTTCTGTATACCTGATGCAATGTATACTACTCGCATGAAAGAAACGACATTGACCCTGATTACTATAACCAATGATTTCACTCGTAATCCTTCACATCGCACACCTGGCATTTCTCCAACCCTTTATCGGTCAGCAAACCGCAATGCTTGCATGTGACCTTGCCAGAAGGAGCTGCAGGAGGAGCCCAGATACCCGCCCAGTTATTGACAACAGGAGGTGCAATCGGCTTGGGTGGTTCAGGAACAGGTTCGACTGATGAAGACGCCCATGGACGAGCAGTTTCGCAGGCTGCACACTTGGCATCGTTAGAGTTATTTGAAATCATGCACACGGGGCACTTCCATGCACCGGCGCTCGATATCGGCTTGGCCATCCCAGCCGCGGCAAAGTTAAAACCCAAGCTGGGGGCTGGAGGGATTATTGTTGCAGAGATTGCCGGTTTCACTGCGGAGGAAGAAGCCACTCCTGGGCGATCCGTTTCGCACGCAGCGCACTTGATCACATCAGTTTTGTTGGGTATCATGCACACTGGGCACTCCCAAGTGGCAGCACTGGTAGTTGGAGCTGACATTCCAGCGGCAGCAAAATCGAAGGCAACCACTGGGGCAGGTGCTACCTTTGCGGCAGGCGGTGGGACGGTGGTGAACGACGACCCCTTAGCCACTGCTTTGACGTCGAATGAAAAGGATGGCAGCTTGTCCTCTGGCGTTGGAATACCTGCATTCTTTGCCAAGCTTGACAGCGTCTGCACAGAGAAGGCGAATGTAGGCAGAGTCGCCTCCTTCGAGGTGATCTTCATAGACGTGCTATCAGCTTGTGTGGAGTCCATATCTACGTCCTTTGTGGTAGGCGGCTCTGACGCAATCGGTGTCTTTGTCGATGGACTTCCAAAGAGGCTGGCGCCGTTGCTCGTCGCTGGACGAAAAGCTGCGAAAGGCGATGGACCGCTTCCGAATGCGGTCGCAGACGTCTTGGAAGAATCACCGAAAGGCGACTTGAAACCGCTCGGCATGTTAAATGTGATCGGTTTCGTTGAGGGTGCAATAGCCGTAGTTTCTTCTTTGCCTCCAGAGGGGGCAGTTGGGAAGACTAAAGATGTCGAGGGTTTGCCAAAGAGAGATGTGGTTGGCGTGGGTACTGATGTCGACGCAGATGGTGTACCGAACGCAGCTGAGAATGATGCGACAGCTGGAGCCACAGGTTTAGAAGCACTGCTAGCGCTGAAGCCTCCATTGCTTGGAGCAGAAAGACCGGGTGCGCCGAATGAGCTTGAGGTTGTTCCAAAGTCGAACAAGCCGGATTTAGCTGGTGTCGATGTTTCTTTGGTCGGCTCCGTTGCTGGTTTCGTGAGAGATCCAGCTTGTCCGAACATGCTGGCGGTGCCGAATGGAAGACCCCTCGATGGTTTTGTGGCTGCACTACTAAACGCAGCAAACGCAGACGTCTCAGGCGCCTTTTCGAATGCCGTAGCAGAGGGAGGCTTGATGGGTGTGAAAAGAGTTTCCGCGGCCTTCTCAGACACAGGAGAGGTGGAGTTGAACAAGGAAGGATTCGAGCCGTTTGAGAACAAACCAGGACCTCCGAAAGGCGATAGCTTTAAGTCACTCAGCTTCTTTTGGGCAGGCTCGGAAGTACCGGATGGGGGTCCAAACGAGGCAAACGGATTGGCTGGCCTCGTCAGCTTTGATGAGGAGTCCTGGGGTAGACCGAATGATGGTGGAGTGATGGTGGTAGGTTTGGGGAAACTCAAACCTCCGTTTATGCCAAACAGTGACGTGGGCGTGGTGGATGCCGGTTTAGCCGTCTCCTCGGAAGTCGGTGGTTTGGCGACTTCTGGCGTCTTTGGAGTCTTTTCTTCAAGCAGCTCGACAACCTCCTGGGCATCTGCAAAGGATGTCCTCGGTTTCTTTGAAGCAGGCGGGCTTGGCAGAGAAAACGGCTCCTTCGGTCCGAGGTTAGAGAATATACTTGGCTTCGGTACGGGAGCCTCGTCGAGAGCAGCTGTCTCTGCGTCACGCTTCGTCCCAGTCGGTGGCTCTGGTACCTTCACGCCATTAACAACAGGCTTTTTAGTCTCGGCGCGGGATGGAGTAACAGGCTGTAGCAAGCGACGATGAGTCTACTATCCGGAAAGCGACTCAAGCCACTTACTCTGTCGGGGGAAGGCTTAGCTTTTGGTTTGAGCTTCCCTTTGATTGCACCTGGTCTGCTCAGGTACGGGTTCTGGAAAGGGTCTTTACTGTCCCGCTGTAGAAGAATATGTAAGCCTAGCGGGTATGTCAAACCACAGGAACATACCTTTCCGGCATCCATTAGATCTTTCAAAAGGCTCGCCGCGATAGTCGGGCCTCGTTTGGGTGGTGCGACCCGGTCGCTGGTAGGTGAAGTAGAGTTTTCTGCATATACGTGAGTACAAGAGACACGGCTAGTAAATTAGGCGCACGGGATATAGCATTGCGAAGGGGTGACGAAACGTTCGGCTTCCTGGTCAACCTGGAGAGAGAAGGGTTGGCCGGTTCTTCAGCCGGAGTGGGAGTTGCAGGGGTATGTGATGGACCTGCGAGCATGGATACGCTGAGGGTGGAGCGAGTTAGAGCAGTCGTCTTCTCTCCAGGTGTGGGTGTGTTCGCTTTGGCCATTATCTGTCTCGGGGAAGGTTTAGCCGAACTCCTCAAACGTGATCCGCCGCTTCCAAAACCAGGCCCGATATAGATAGGTGGAGTGCTGCGACCAGGAGTGAAGGTTCGACGAGGAGTGGTGGTAGATCGAGTCGCTCGTAGCTTGGATGACTGATCAGGAGTGCCAGGATGGAACGTTGGTACACTATATGCTGGGGCTCCCAACCGGAAGGGTTCTTGTGAATCGCCTACGACAGGGTCAGTTTTAGAGTCAGACAAGTCTTCAAGGGCGCGAACCGTTTACACCACCCCGCAATTCTTCCAGCATCTTTTGAATGCCATTCCATTCGACGACAGAAAGCGGTTCGCTGCCCTTCTTGGAGAAGAAATCGCTGATCGCGGCGTTGATCTGCTCAGGCGACTTATTCTCCGTTTGCAGTGAAGCGCGAGATATTGAATGCTGAGGGGTAAACGGAGGGTTGGCACGAGCGAGGGCGCTTAAAGACATTGATTTCGAGAGTGAAGGAGGTGAGTTCCGGACTGGGCGGGCTGCGCTCACAGAGGGACTTATGATCTGCACCTCGTCATCGTCCTCCTGAATAGGTGAAGGTGGCCTTGCACGCTTTCAAAACTGTCAGTCAGAGGAGTGGGCTGGATACTGGCCGACCTACAGAACTACTGAAGCCCCCTGGAGGACCAACCGGTGTCATGGTGCCCTCTCGCTCGGGATCAGCCACGTCTTGTACAGGAATATGTTCATCTCCAGAGCTCGCTTCCTCATCCAGTGTCATATCAGCATCAGGGCCGCCAACCCACCAGGACACAGCGCGCCCTAGAAGGTCGAGGAAAGAGGACGAAGGCGCTCGCTGACCACAGATCAGGGTGCTGCAAAAAACACGTGTCATGTACGAACTCACCGTCAGTCCAGACTCGTTCGTCTGTGGCAGATTTCTCGGCCTTGAGTATGGAGACGAGCGCTCCTGTCGAGCATTCGTACGCGCAATCGACCGCGACTGACGATGTGGGGAGTCCATGGTCGTCGTCGTTGTGAACAAAGACGTCCCTATGTTCGTGAATGGGCCAAAGCGCCTTGACCTGGGGTTTGGGTGGAGTGGCGATGACCTCAACGGAGCCTTTTATGTCTCCGTTGGCTTCATCTGGAAGGAGACGAGTATTGAGCTCTTCAGTCGTGCTCGTCCTCGAACATTCTTGGAGAACGACATGACCGACGAAAACAAACCAGAGGCATCACCAACCTCCCCTGCCATCAGACCATCCCCCCCTCCTGTGCCAGGATATCCCGGTCGTCCTGGTTGGACGCCCACACAATCTCAACCATTCCCTCTTATCGATGCCGACCCGCATTTCAGTCGCGTTGTCCGGTTTTTGCGGCCCTCAGACCTCATGTGGGCAGGTGTGTTCACCGCTTCGGCTCCCGTGATTATTTGGCACTCGGGTGAGCAATGAATCAACAAATCAGTGCGAGAATTGTCTAAGATGTATCTTAGAATGGGTCGACACGCCTGCGGGAAGGATGAAGCCATTGCGGGCGTTACGAGGTCCATTAGTCCTCGCAACAATCTGTGGAGCGACTGCTGGGTTTTTTTACGCATACATGGCCTCATCAAGTATGCGTATCGTGCGTATTTGACGGCAGTTTCGCTGATGCGGTCTCGCAGAGCGTTTCTGGGGATGGACTGAGAACATGAGGGAAGTACAGAAGGATTGGACAGAAATGACCCAACGTGTCAAGGAGGGAAAGTCGCTGTACGGCTACACAGACATGAGCGACTTCATGCAGGGCGTTTCTGCACGTAATTCAAGGTACTCTCAGCTTAAACTCGGTGCGCCCCATGATTTATTCTGAGTCGCTAATTCTGACATTGACACAATCAGCGGTTCTACCTTGGTGAGCGATCGCGTATATTGTGCACGGGAATATGTCTGATATTCCTCTTAGGTTCAACTTCTCAAACCACAAATATCATGGGGTGGACCCGGCCATGTACGGAGAGGGCGCGCGGGCTGTCGACCAACCGAAAGAGACTACGTTGTGAGCACTGTAAAATCGTATTTCAACCAAAATGCAATATTTCTTTCCTCTTCCAAAATGGCCGCTTGTTATAGCTCACCATGTGTGGACACATCCACTTGCAATATATATCTGTCTAGAATTCTGAGGTAGAAAACCCCAGAATGATATTGTTCGCACGCTGGATGTGGCTGTGCCATCCAATTTCAACACATTCGTGGCCGTCACTCGGTCTTCGAGTCGACCACCTTCAACGTCTACAACTTTAAAAAATGGCTGATTATGGTGAGTATCTTCTCTTTTATTAACATCATGCATCTTCTACGATCTTTCGAGCCTGACATCTACTAGATCGTCGCCCGCAGCGCTTTGAGTATGACCGGGAAGGCCGGCGCTTGCCACCCCGTGACGAAGGGGCGGATGACTCTCGTGGGGGTCGTGACCCCCGCCGCGATGGCCGTGAGGACCGCTACGGCGGTGGCAGGCGCGAGTATGATCGTGACCCACGTCGCAGGGATGATGATAGGCGCCGATATGATGATGATCGTGGCGGGGGATACAGGGAAGATCGCTTTGGAGGGGGTGGTGGGGGTGGGGGTGGTGGAAGAAGGAGAGATGACGATTTCGGTGGAAGGAGAGATGCTCGTAATAACAGGGATGACAGGGGTCGCGGAAGGGAGAGAGCTGCCACGCCTGAGAAGCGCAGCCCTACCCCTCCTGGTGCTGTCCCACTGAGTCAGAGGAGGAGAAAGGCATCCGGATGGGAGGTCCATGCTCCTGGCTACGAACCCTACACAGCCATGCAAGCCAAAGCTACAGGTGTGTGTAGTGCCATGTTCATCGTGAGTGGATGCTAACAGTTTTGTAGGTTATTTCAATCTTCCAGGAGCTAACAGGCAGCATACCGTGGCGATCAACATTCCAGCTCCTACTGGTGCCCCAGCTCCTCAAGCCTTCGGCGCAGCGGCCAATATACCCATCCCGGCAGCTTCGGCTGAAAATCTGGAGAAACAGGCGCGCAGACTGTACATTGGCGATATTACTCCTGACACTACAGAGGAGAACCTTACAGCGTTCCTCAAGAAAACTCTTCCTGAGCTTGGAATCAAGGTCGAGGGAGAAGACGTAGGGTTCGAAGAGGTCAGAGTCAGCCACGAGAAGAATTACGCATATATCGAGGTAATACTTGTGATTCACTGCCTGCTCATACATTGCTCATTTGCTGCTAGTTCTCGAACCCTGACGATGCGACGAAAACGATGGAGCTCGACGGTACTGTTTTCCTAGGGCAGCCACTCAAAATTCGCAGACCCCACGATTATCTCAGCGCTACAGATCTCGCTGTTGTTTTCGGCGGTATTGTTCCAGGCGTTGTATCCACTAACGTCCCCGACTCCATCAACAAGATCTTCGTCGGCGGGCTGCCCACCTATCTTAACGAAGCACAGGTCATGGAATTACTGCAGACTTTCGGTGAACTTCGTGCATTCAACCTTGTCAAGGATGGTTCTACAGGAGTTTCCAAGGTGTGCATCTTATTCTCCCGGCTAGGCATTCTCTTATCGTATTATGTCAGGGCTTCGCCTTCTTCGAATACATGGATCCAGGCGTCACCGACGTTGCCTGCCAAGGTTTGAACGGAATGGAGCTAGGTGATCGCTATCTCGTTGTGCAGCGCGCATCCATCGGAGCCAATCCCACTAAGCCCAACATGCCGAATATGCCAGGGACATTGCCTCCACCTCGCCCTGCTATTCTCCCAGTTGATAACACCAATCCCCCGAGCCCTATTCTCCTCTTGCTGAACATGGTCACAGCGGAGGAACTTCTTCAGGATCAAGACTATGAAGATATCCTCGAAGATGTTCGTGAAGAGATGGGTCGGTTTGGCCCAGTCATCGATATCAAGATCCCTCGGCCCCAGAGACGCGAGAACAGATGGATTCCTGGCAGCACATCTGAACCTGTTAAGACAGATATCGAACTCGGTGTTGGAAGGGTCTATGTCAAATTCGCGGATACCGATTCTGCCAGTCAGGCCCTCAATGCCGTCGCCGGACGACAGTTCAGCGGCAGGTCAATCATCGCCACGTATCTACAGGAAGATCCTTTCCTCGAATCGGCATGAGAGCTTCAACGTGGCTCTCCAAAAAAAAAACTCAGGTTTCTGTAGTCTACATTTTCCTTCTGATTTTGTTGATAGGTCCAGGCCGTGCGTAGATACATGTCTGACAATGATACAGCTAGCAGCTAGCTTCGCAGAGGCGGGGTTTTTGGGATCATGCTGCTGAGGTGAGCTGATTGACATTTCATCACTCCCCGACTGTCCGCGCTTCACCAACAGCTAGCATCAATGCATATCTCTACAATGTCCATGGCTTCTGTACTGACCCTACGAATGCCTGCTTGCCGCGAGGTCCGCCGTCTAGTGCGCACACCATTCAGGCAACCAGGTTCCAGCACACCAGGATTAACTCACCCCTTTCTACGTGCTCTTCTTCTCCCCTTGCTTGGTCAATTTCAGACCTGCCTCGACCGCATTATATGTGCGCCAACCCATATCCAGCATCATGATCGTGGCAACCGCAAACATGGGAGCGTAGCTCTGCAACAACATTGTGCGTTGCTTCTCTGTTAACGAGATTATGCCCTCTTTCGCTGTCAGGTCCGAGGTCGTCGGTAGGGTGTAGATAGATGCCAGACAGGCTACGATGCTTGTCACCGCCGAGGCGGCGTACATGGCAATCAAAGCGTTGATACGCGTCGACGCTACGTGGGGGGATGAGCATCGTTCCTAAGCTGATATAAATTGTCCCCTCAACCTTTCCTCAATCCATAGAGCGCAATGAAAAACATTGGCAATTGCGCAAACCTACATATCGCCTCCGCTCAGCAATGGGGAATGTGTTTTGCAAAGTGTGCCGTACGTTTCTATGTACAAGTAGACGTTACACCAAGCGAATATACCAGGTTGTCCAATGCGTCCAAAGCCACCGAGAAGGACAGGATCACCAGACTCCTCTAGATACCAAGCTTGAAAATCCTGGAGCTTGATGGGAAGGCTCTCCTTCGGAAGAAATAATTGTACCGCCATAGACAAAGTGATAGGAATATGGAACTACGCTGAATCAGGGCAACTGCTGGGCTTCGCTAGATCTGACTTACGGCGAAGTAAACAAAGTAGAGCAAGTCCAACGGCCGCTTGACCAGTGGAGAGGGAGACATCTTCGTAGGACTAAGAATTCGTGCAGGCAAGTTGGATAGTCGATGTGAGAAGAAACGCTTCCGATTATTGGATAAGATCCATCCATAAAACCTTGGCGTGTCAGGTCATTTGTCGGACCTCTCCTTCACGCAGGCTAGATACACAAACAAATCGACTGAACATCGCTCCTCCACCTCTGCAGCAGGTGCATTATCTCGGAACGTTCACTCTTGAACACCTTTCATGAGATATCTGCGGGCAAACTTATTATGTACATGTGAGATGAACGAAAATATCTGGTAGATAGCCAATTCATCGATCCACAGCAGAATCGGCACTCTTCATGACCTTCAGGAGCTCTTTGGATCGCTCTTCTTAGTCAGCTTCGTTGCGGTCTCGACCAACCTGAGCGTGCGCAGTCCCATATCCACCATCATGACGGCGGGAACGAGCATAAACGGCACATAGCTCGCAAGCAGCATATACCGTTGCACATCGGTGAGCGACATCAGCCCCGCCTTGATCGTCAGCTCGCTTGTGGTGGGAAGCTCGAGTACGGTCGATACGCATGCGAGGACGGTGGTCGTGGTCGATGCGGCGTAGATGAGGATGAGGAGGTTGATGCGCGCCGAGCCTGTCATCCAACACCCCATCAGCTTGTTCGATAACAACATTGTAAGCGTTTACCTATCCATAGACCATACAACGCGACAAAGAACGTCGGGAGCTGGAACAGCCTGTAGTTCCATCAGTAAGCCCCGACTCACCCCGCGTACGTAGACAAAACATACCCTTCAAGGAGGAAGAACGACTTGATCCAAGCGAATTCGCCCGGTTTCCCAACGAGTCCCGCTGCGCCAGAGACGACAGGATCGTTGGTCGTAGCGAGATACCATGCGTGGAAGTCTTTCAGCATTTGTGGGACGAACTGGGGCGGATAGAACGACTGTAGGTCCATGCATATCGTTGCTGGGATGTGGATCTAATAGAGAAGGCTTTGGTCAGTGAACTGGGATCTCAGTGGATACTGCTAACCAGGAAGAACGTAAAGTATACTAGGTCCAGCGGACGTTTGATAAGTGAGATGCGGGCCATTTGAGAACTTGTGAACGCATCTCAAAGAGTTGAAGGTACGTGTGGCGCGTGACGCCCTTCTGTTCAGAATTGGAGGGGAAGCAGAGTATAGGGTTGCAGCTGGCAATCAATTGTTTTGGGATATATCTACATTACAAGCTTCGATAACAAAGGTAGAAAAAACTAGTTTACTACAATGATTTCCACAGAATGGACCGCCCCAGCATGAGTGCGGGGGAAAGGCCTACGGGTACGTATTGTTGTTGGGCGGGGTACAGGTAATACTCGTTGCGAAGGTATGTCGAAAGGGGGTACAAGCACAAAGAAAGGGTAGAGAAAATGCTAAAGAGCCAAAATACGCGCTATAATGATGTGATCCGACCAGATCCTTCCCGGTGGACAACGTGTTCTTTTCGCTGTCATTGATGACGATAGATTCTGTTTGATGGTGATGATGATATCATGGTTTCCCGCAGGACGTAAATCGATGTCTCCAATCGAGCATCGACCTCCTGAATATTAAGCAGAGTGGCAGAACAGTTGCGCGAATTTTCAAGCGCGACAGGCCTCCTTCGCCCGCCCACCTTCCTTATGTCGCTTAAGCCCGGCACGGGTTGAGAAAAGATGCTTGCAACCTGCACAGCGGAGATCGATCGTTTCCGCAGGAGCGGGCTGGGATGCAGCAAATCGTAGTCTTGATGCCTGGGGGAATGGTCAGGGATGAGGTTGAATGCAGAGGAAGGGAAACGCACGACTCCGACGCGGGTGGACGCTAACTGTAACTTGACGTTTGCAGAGCCCTTTGATGCTGGAACAACAGTAGATGCAGAGGCTTGGTGTGCAGCGGCACGGCGGGTGTTGTACTTTCCAGTAGGAGGAACAGCGGTGGTGGATGAGGGAGCAACAAGGGGAGAAGGAAGGGCAGAAACAACGCGAGCGACAGGCTGACGAGCCGCATGAGTACCTTCTGCCTGGACATATGGGAGGAGCAAACACACCTGAACAGTTGGCTTTTTCATCGGAGCAGTAAGCTTCTTTCCCTCCTTTACTGCCACCTTTGGCGCCTTTTTCGCTTGCTCTCTTGCTACCCTAACTCTACCTCCATCAAGGTTACCGAGGATCTCGCGGACCACACGGGCCTTCTTCACTTGACGCGGCGCATCATCTTGCACTTCCAGATCAAGAGTGAGATCAAGAATCTCGCGCTTGCGTTTCTGAGTGATACGATTGTTCGCGATCGAGGCAACCGGGACCTTCAGTAGCTCGTTTTGCTTGCCTTTGCTCTTCGTGACAGGTTTCAGCACAGGCATGGGTACGATAGCAGCCTTCATCTCTTGATGCAAGACCTTGCGCGTGCTGCTCCGAGTTCTCGGTAGGGTAACGTCGACTACCCCAGCCTTTAGTCCAGTCTTCCCACGCGAGCTACTCAGTTTTGTATTCTCCTCCTTTCCCTTGTCTTTTCCTAGAGAAAGCTTCCGGTGCATCCGAGGACGCTGGGAAGAAGCTTGCTGGGCCGCGAGGGCTTTGCGAACCTCCGGAGAAAGGCGGATCCGCGCTGCATACACCTGTCAACACCTGCACGCTCAGAGGCAGAAAGACTGACCTTTGATAGGAGTGACAGTGTCATCATACTCGCGCACATCCCTCTGCTTCGAAACCCAGTTCTCGATCCTCTTCTGCGGAGTGTACTTGCTCGTCACCCTCCTATAGTGCTCGAAAGCGCCCTCGTGCATCGTCCTCGCGTTCCAGCGCATCCTCAGCTCTTCGCAAAAGCTATGAGCGTCATCCTTTCCTTCAAGCTCCGGAAAGTCATCATAGTCCGTCAATTCGCTCGTCCACTCCGAGGCGTCCAGATCGCGTCGCTCGAGCAGGGCAGACCAGTGGTGAAACGTGGCTTTGAACGAGGGAAACTCGGGGACGATGACGTGCGAGGGAGGGAGAGACCAGTCGAAGGTGACGTTTCGCGGAAGACGGAGACGTGGCTTGATAGGAGTATGAGAGGGTGAAGAGCGAGGAGGTACGGGGGAGTTGTACGCCGGGACAGCCATGATTGTTATTGTTTATGACGTAGATGAATGCAGGTAAATGCCTCTGAAATGTGTTTGAACAAGGTAACGACGCCAAATGTAACTGTTGAGCAAAACCAACGAGAGAACAAGTCGAGATGATCGTCCAAGAACAAGAGACGCCGTCCTCGAGGAGTCACTGACTGCGCTGTGTGGTCGAGAGGGGAGTGGCGCTGGCAGGGAGTTGAAAAGAAATGCACAGAAACGGCGAATTGAATGGGCGCGTGCATCACGTGTTGATTTCGGGATACTTCCGCTCGCTCACGTGAGGAACGCGTTCATTACATCCGGCGCTTTTTTCCCACCTGTTTGGCTGGGCTCATGAACACAGCTCTTCATCCCTTCTCAGATGGGATTAATACTGTCCAGCATCCGTGCTCGCCGATCATAGGCACCAGATCGCACAAATCCATCGACTCGAGCCTCCTCCGATTAGGCACAGGTATAACATTAGATTTGCCAATGTGCATGTCTTCTACCTTGTATGCGAGCGAATATCAAATACATGAAAAAGTTGCAGAGAACGAGTGATGCTGCCAACCCACCAAAGACCAAACAAACCGAGTATGAGCATGAGCATGAACATGAACATGCGCATGACTACCTACTCCTCAAACCCTCCCACAACCTTCAAAGCCCCCACAACCCTCCTATACTCCCTGAGCAATTCTCCAATCTCGCTCAGCCTCAGGTCGTCCGGACTGCATTCCATGAACCTCGTGCTCGGACCATGTATTTTAGGCAGCGGTAGGGGCGCGGGCGGGGATGGGAGAGCAGCGGGCAGGACAGCGGGGGACTGGTCCCTCGGAGAAGGGGAGTGCGAGTCTATCCCAGGCTGGGGATGTACGTTCCCCGCCGGAGCATTAGGCGACAACAGCGAGTTCTTCCTCGACCTGGGCGGAGACTGTTGCTTCCTCCCTGCAGGATCTGCATGTCCCGCGCCCGAAGCGCCCTTGGGATGATTAAACCTCCCCGCAGCCATGTTCGCCAGCCGATCATGGATGCTCATCCTTTCCCTGCGCTCATCCCTATCCCTACTCTCACGGGACATCATACTGCTGAAACTTCGAACGCTGCGGACGTCGGACCTGTACCCCGGCTCACGCTCCTCGTCCTCTTCTTCTTCCTCATCCTCATCCTCCTCCTCCGTCTGGCCAGAAGTCCCAGTCTCCTCCTCAGACCCATCACTATCCGTCTCCCTCTCCTCCCTGATCGAGTTCGCCCTCGAACCAACAACCTCAACCAACGGCCTCCCACCCTCCTCGTCTTCCTCCCCATGCATGCTCCTCGCCCTCCCATGCCCGCCAGGTAAGCTAGCAGCCATACTAGCGATAGAGAACCCGCTTGCACGTCTGAGGAGTCCGAATCCTGGTCGAGCAATCTTCGCCAGCTCGTCAGTTGGCGACCCGGGGTCGGCGGACATTGTCCCCTGATTCTGGCTGAGCAAACCCCGGAGGGCGGAGAAGGAGGAATCGACAACGCCCGATATGACCTTGTTTGTCGAAGCCGCGAGCTCCCCAACCTGATTCACCGTACCCCGGAGCCGACCGCCCATGTTCTCGACCGCTTCGGCCTGGGCTTGCGCTTGCGGGGAACGGACAAGCGGGATAGGAGTAAGCTCGTCGATGCTGCGCGATATCGATATGTCAGAACGTCCCCAACGGAACTAGAAAGAAGCGGCAAACATACCTAAGCACCTTGTCCTGCCCTCCTAGTCCCAGTACACCTAGATCGACATGTTCCAGGAACTCGACAACAGCGCTAAGGTTTATCAAGCAGTAGTTCTCTTCCCCCCCGACAGCCGAGTCCCTATACCGCTGGACATAGAGCAGGTGGCTCACAAGCTGAGCAGGGTTCGACTTGACCACAGCGAAGATGATGAGGGGGAGCATGAGGTCCGCTGCTGCTGTTGCTTGCGGGGAGGAGGAGCGAGCGGGGGAGATAGAGGAAGGAGGAGGAGAAGCAGACCGGTGCCGTGGAGGGAGGGGAGGGGGCTCTCTCTGCCCCTGCGATTCTTCCTCCCCCACCCGCTCAGGGAAACGTAAAGGCGGCACTGGAGGAGTGCGTACGAACACGTCCTGTCCCTCCCCCTCCGACGCAGAAGAGCGGGAAGTAACGGTATCCCTCTGCGCCTGCTCGAGTTCCTGCTCCATACTAGCATGCAGCGCCGGGGGATAACCGTTCACGCCTTCCTGCAGCTCCTGTTCTTCCAATTGGACGTGAATCGCCGGATTGGGAGGGAAAGGCCTTGCCGTGAGCTCCCCGCTTTCTTCGAGCAGGGCAGGCCGGGCCGTCCGTTCGCCCAACTCTAGCTCGAGTTCCTGCTCTACCTCTGTTTCCGGCCTGAGCCTGAGAGGCGGCAGCTGGGCCAAACCGTCCGCAACGATCTTGTGTGCCGTGACTAGGATAGCCGCTTTCTCCCTTGGGGCTTGGACCAAAGGCAGTTTCTGGAGTTCTGGGATAAAACCGTCAGATCAGTGCCCTGCATCTCTGCACAACGGGAAAGACATACCCCGTCCACAAGCCTTGACCACTTCCTCGACCTCTTTGTCCCCCTCCCCCTTGCGGCCTACGACGTCCACCCCCAGGTGCTCCAGACCAAGATCAAGCATGTTCAGAGCAGCGATCCTACTCGCGAGCGCCTCGTCATGTCTGTCGTCATCCGAGTCCTGGGGGCGGAACAGTCTGTCAAACAAGAGAATGCAGACGACAGCTTCCACGCGATCCAGGGCGTCGCGGAGCGCAGCGGCGCGTGTTGAGCCGTGGAAGAAAGAAGCCTTTTCGTCTAGCTCTTTCTCGCGCTCTTCTTCTTCCCGCTCTGCTGGGTGGTCTAGCTCCTTACTCCTCCGGCCTAGCAAGCTCGTGGTAGGACTGTGGGCGTGCTCGAAGTACAGCTGCAGATCCTGATGTATGCTGCTGTAGAACTGCTGGAACGCTTCGGGCGTTGGCTGCTGTTCGGGGCTTGGGCTTGGGTTGGGGCTGGGGCTAGCGTGCGCACCGGCACCTGAGCTGGAGTTGGAAGCTCCGTTGCTGAGCGTAAACGTGCTGAAGGGGGAAGGGCGGAGCTTGCCTTTCTTAGCCTGGGCGAGCGCGGGAAGGTAGGGAGCGACGAATGTACTAACACGATCTGTGACCCAGCCGGGCAGGCCGTGGAGGGCAAGCTTGATCTCTGCTTTCACTGCGCGCCCGATCTGGTGCACGACCTCCCTCGTGCGGAGGAGGGTTTCGATAGGCCATACGTCGATTGTCGGTCCTTCGCCTACCAGGTGGGTGGGAGGAGTAGGCGGGGAAGGCACGGGGACGGGAGGAGGCGGGGCCGGGGTGGGAGTAGGGGATTTGGACCCAAAGAGGGAGAAGGGGAGGGATACGAGCCGGTTTGTTGGGTGCTGGGCGGGCTTGGGCCGGTTAGGGAGTGGAGGGGGAACGGGAGAGGGACGTGGTGGGAGAGGGACGGGGGTCGGGGGGCCGTGGACGATGAATGTCGGGTATGGGGTAGAGAGGTCTGCGTTTGATAGCGGGAGGGGGAGTGGGGGGAGAGCAGCGAGCGTCGGGCCCCGGGAAGTGGGTGCGACGAGGTTGGTGAATTGGGTACAGTCGGTCGGGAGAGAGGAACGGAATATGAGCGAATTGCTGTCTGCTGTGCCTCTTAGACCGGAGAGAGTGACGACGGGAGACGGCGAGCTGCTCGCTGGAGGGGAGAGGAACACTACGTGATCTCTTACCAGATCCGCTGTGATCTCTCCCGGCGCTAGTGGTTCTTTTGGCAACAACAACGTAGCCTATCATGTTCTGTCAGCAGACTAGCATATATCGCCAGCATGCAGGAAACGCACTTTTCCAACAGTGATCATCCCCCATACCTCTTCCCACTCATCATCCGCCACCCCGAGGCTACTCAGGCGATCAAGCATCCCCCACCCTGCACTCTCGCCGCTCAGTCCCAACCCCTGAATTTCAGACTTCATATTCTGCCTCTGCAGCTCTCTTGTCGCTCCTCCCGCAGTCGCAGAGCTCGTCGGACTTCCGGTAGCGTTGTTCGTTGTGAGTGCTGCTGCTGGTGCGGTGGTGTTGGACGTTGAGGCGACTGGCTTGTGCCTGGGTGTGTAGGGGACATATTTTGGGGAAGTGGATATAGGCTGCGGGGATGCGCAAGCGAGTGTTGTGGAAGGAGAAAGAGATGGGCTTGAGGTGTGTGAAGGTGCAGGGGAGAGAAGGGGATGTGCTGGGAGTGAATCCTTTGAAATGATCTGACCTTGAGAGCGACCGATGGACATTGTGTGGGGTGAGTGGTGGGGTGGTGAACAGCGATGATTTGGTGAAGAGTGAACAGGTGTTGGATGACACTTCAATGCACAGTCAGCACAGTACTCCTATTCACTGCACAGTCACAATCTAGTCAAGCAGAGAGTGTCTCTCAAGTAGAGTAAAGAAACACAGCAGAAAGGACACGATGAGACACACGATGAGAACAGGCCACGCACTCCTCCCACGCGTCATATCCTTCCCCTTAAGATCATACAAGTGGCTGTGTACACAGACTGCTTCCTTTCAATTACTTCCCGCTCTCTTTGTCCTCTTCAGAGCTTAAACATCGTCCTCCTTCTCACTCATTACACTCTACAACGAGAAATGCACTTGCCTAGACGATAGACGCCCGTTCCCCGCTGCAGAGCTTCCCCTGAAGCCGGAACCCGCAGCGTCATCCCCCAGGGAAGCAGAAGCCTCCGCCCTGTTCACTCCTTCTTCATCGCTTTGAGTACCTCACAAGTCGCGCGAGAACCGTGATAGCTTTTCATCGGCTCTCTCGGACTCTCTCTCTCCCTCCCACAAGCAGCGGAACGCCCTTGCTCACCGCCTGAGAGAGGTACTCAGGGAATGTCGGTAGAGGACACCCAGGACTTGGCTCGCTTAGGTAGCACAAACGGGCATGGGGACAACAACAAACATGCATAAACATTCGCTCGGGAACGTGCACTTCATCTGCGCACTTGTTCCCCCTCACTCCGCAACCGCACAACGCAACGCACGACGTACGATACACGACGCACAGACGATAACTACGAACTCGACATGAGAAAAGAGGTATGAGAAGTGGAGAGCCCGTCAACCAGCATTTGAGATCAGATCTGCGTTCGGTCGCCTTGGGGCGGGGAGGAGTGCAATGCTTGTTCAGCACTTGCAGGCGTCCGTCTGCGTTGTGTCAGCCGCGAGGTAAAAGAGTGAGGGGGGGACGCACGGTGCAGTGGCAGGTCTGCTTGCAGCTGTCGCACTGGCAAGAGCAAGCGCTGCCGGTAGCGCACTGGGTCATGTCGACGGGAACGTTGATGGACGTCTACCTCCGTGGGTCAGTCACCAGTCGGCCAGGAAGAGGGGGGAAACTGACGGCCATTGTAGTTGTAGTAGTAAGTTGTTTGAGTGTGGAGTTGTTGAGTAAGATTGGAGTTGGGGTTGGGAGCTACAAGCAGCGTCAATGAGGGGGTTTATATCCCCTTCGATCCCCCCCCTATACGACTCGGGCAACACGGAGAAGGCTTATCTGCTCCCGGTGGGTCCCCCTGTCCTTCCCTCGTAGCACATGCACATACACTTCAGCTCGTGCCACCTTACCGGAGTGGCATGAGGCCGCACATGAGGTCGGCGAGTCTAGCCTCCCCCTGAAAGGTAGGGATATTAGGCTTAGCGTCACGGACCGATGGTGTCCTGCCAGCTGGGTCGGGTGGGCTTCCGAACAGCCGCATGAGGCCCGGATGGACATCCCTCTCTGAATGCGTAGACGTTGGGTGTGTCCTTGCGCTCAATATGGTTCATCACCCCATCACCGGAGTGGTGTGAGAAGGGAAGGGATATCAAGTGAAGCACCATATGCACCTATGAATGCTCCAACTTCTGTGACTGGTGCACAGAGCACGCTATTTCCAGCTCGGCTGTGATCGACCTGTTCATCAATTGCCTCAAATAACTCCTTGCGCTTCAACTTACCGGAAGAGTTGGACTCACGCACCGGGGTGCCCGGTTTCCAATTCAGGAGGCGGAGGATGCTGCTCCGTGTCCGGGTGTCCCTATTTGGCACCGGGGAGAGACCGCATACAGCACACAGCGAACCGAGCCGGCGGAGGTTGATGAGCATCTGACCTTCCGTTCATTAACCAAGCGCGTGAAACCTGATTCCCGTGAGGGAAGGGACAGTCCGGTTCTCCTGTCTGTCGTGTGTGTCCTGTGGTCTGTCACCACACGATGAGTATTCAGCACGTTTCATTCCCCTTCGGATTCCGGCTTCCGGGCTCCTCTTCCGCGCCCATGTGGCGCAGGACATTACGATCCTGTACTTCATCATCGTAGTGCAACAGCGGTTCATTGATGCGACAAGCAAGGTGACTACTGCATCGTTTGAAGGAGTGCTCTGCTAAACTCCCGCGCGTTCCCGCTCGCTTCCGTATATTTGGCAAGGAAGAAGTCGTCGCTCGGTTCTGTGGGCTTGGTCAGCCTCACGCCGCGCAGCACAGGGTGACAGGACGAAGGGGGTACTTACGAGTATGCATAACGAACCCCTGTATCCAAGTCTTATACCACCCTCTGGCAGCTTCGACTCCCAGCTCGTCCGGCACCGGGAACCCCCTAAGTCCCTGCGAGTAGTGCACTTGCGCTGGGTGGCGCTTTGCATACGCCCCGGCTGCCGCGTCTTTCCAGCATAGTTCGGCGCCGATCGCTTCCCGCAGCGGGACGGGGGTGGTGTGCAGCGTGTGAAGGGGCCCGATGGCACCTAGTACCAGACCACGGGACTGGAAAAGCCTTTTAGGAAATTTCCTTATACGGAAAGGTGTGACTCACTAGTTGGCGTTCGCCGATGGCATATTCTAGCACAATACGGGGGATAGACAAGTGATAGCCTTTGATCGGGAAGAACTGTGGATCCCGGTAGATCGAGTTCCCATACATGGCACCAAAGTCATCCACGGCGAAGAGAAAGGGGTATCTAGACCAGCGGTAAGACATTGACCTCGTGTCGTGTTAGGGAGTGCTTACTCAGTTTGTTTTCCCAACTGTTCTAGAACACCTTCCAGAACAGCAGTCTTGTCCACTTCATCTTCCAGACCAATCTGAGCCAGTCGTAGTAACTCCCCCCCTGCAGCGAACGTTTGTCCCTTGTCCCCATATAGTACATCTCCCACTGTCCTTATCTTCGCCAGCTCCTCCAGATGTAAGTCAACCAGTCCCTTCAGGAGTCCTCGTGCAATTTCAGGCTGCTGGAACAGCTTGGAACGCGCATCGTATTGGTAAGGAGAGGAGGAGTTGACCAAGTCGATCCCGCGTGGGATGTACATCACGATCCAGCCGTTCTCGACACAGTGACTGACCGCTTGCATCAGGAGCGTGCTTTTACCGCAACCAGATCGACCCTCTGAAACTCAATTTAGCATACATGTGCAGATTTTGTGTGTTAGACGCACGCAGTATAATCCCAGTTGGTTCAGGCACGCTTCTCACTCGTTGACCCTCCGCATTCACCTGGGTTAACAGCTGTACAGTGACATCCCGCACAGCCGAAAAGAGTATGGAAAATGACGTATACTATACGATTATCAGCATTCGTTGGGTGACACAAGAGAGGAAGGACCCACACTCCACTTGTTGCTACTGGGCAGTCCGTACGCTCTGAAAGCCCTCATCGACCGCATGGGGAAAGCCAGAGGTTCGCCGATTGCTGTATCGAACACGGTTTCCTGTATTGCCTTTATTATCTTATCATCGTTGATATCAGAGAGTGCACTTGCAGGTTCAAAACTTTGCAAGGCCAGATCGGGCATGGTCTTGACAAACCACGCCGGATCGGCATCGTTGTAGTTCACATTTGACTACTCGCTTGTCAGGAATTGCATTCATGGTCAGAACAGCTGTGAACACCCACTGGCATCTTCTTCGGTGGAGGCTTCCCTGACTTGTTCTTGCCCTTAAACTGACCCAGTGGCTTTTTCTTCTGGGAGGGTTCATCGTCCTTCCCTGAGAATGGTCATCACCGTGCTGACAACAATTGGGACAAGACACACCCTTGCACCTCACCGTACTGGTCGAGAGAGCCCTTGCACATAGCTGTCGCTGCCCATGTATTGGATAGAGAAATATCAGGGGCCGGTGGGAGAGGTGGGCCAGAGCGGACATCCCGAACGGCGAAGACACAACTTCGGACGGCGAGCGCGACGAATTTGGTGACCCTGACCACACGGAGGCAATTTCTCCGGAGACGCCACAGCATCGCAGCACATCTCCGAAAGACTCCTGCTCAACGACGACGACGACCTGCAGAGTAGACTGCTAGTCCTCTGCAACCCTACACAATAATTCTGTAACTTGGAAAATAAAGAAGCGATATGTCTGCACCCCAAGTGTTCTCCCTTTCGCAGGGACCGATCACCAGTCACGCGTTCAACGCCGACCGCTCGCGTGAGTCCCATTCCTCTTTCTTCGGTAAACAAACGTGACATCCATTCAGAGGTATGCGTGAGCTTGAACTCCAACGAGGCTCAAGTCATGTCCTATGACGGAAAAGCATGGAACACTACCGAAACCCTCACAGAGCACGACAAGCTCATCACCTCTATCGATTGGGCGCCTCACTCGAACCGCATCGTCACCTGCTCACAGGATCGAAATGCATATGTCTGGACACAGGTGCAAGATGCACAGACCGGAGAGCTGATTTGGAAACCGACTCTTGTCTTGTTGCGCATCAACCGTGCGGCGACTTTCGTCAAGTGGAGTCCGAACGAGGACAAGTTCGCGGTTGCGAGCGGTGCTCGGTAAGTGCTTCTCCCGCAACTAGCGGGACAGACGTTGAATTGATGTTGCAGCGCTATTGCGGTCTGTTCGTTCGATGAGGAAAACAACTGGTGGGTTTCCCGTCATTTGAAGAAGCCCATTCGTTCCACTGTGCTCTCTATCGACTGGCACCCCAATAACGTACTCCTCGCCGCAGGAAGCGCGGACATGAAGGCACGAGTCTTCTCTGCGTTCATCAAGGACGTGGATAAACGCCCTGGACCATCTGTTTGGGGTGACAAGCTGCCCTTCAATACCATTTGCGGCGAATATGCGAGCCCTAATGGCGGTTGGGTGCACAACGTCGCCTTTTCCCCTTCCGGAGACGCGATGGCGTTTGTCAGCCACGACTCCTCCATCTCCGTCGTCTATCCCGGCGGAGCTGGAATGATAACGATCAAGACGACTATCCTCCCCTACGTGGCGCTTACCTGGACTTCCGAGGAGTCCATCGTTACGGCAGGGCATGACTGCCAACCGCATGTCTTCCACGGGTCCCAGGCCGGCTGGTCCATGGTTGGCTCCCTTGACAGCTCCAAGGGCGCCCAGCGACAGGCTGGCTCGCGAAACCAGATTGAAGCTTTCAACCGATTCCGTGCGGCAGACACAAGGGGCTCGCAGAGCGAGGAGGATACCGAGCTTCTCCCAACCGTGCATCAGAACACGATCACAAGCGTGCGCACGTTTGATGCCACGAGGGTCAGCACGAGCGGTGTCGATGGTAGGCTCGTTATTTGGGATGCTAACGCCGTTGGACAGCCTGTGGGGAACCTGGTCGGTAAGATGGTGGGAATGAGGGTGTAGATATTTGCACTGAATTCAGTTGATTGATAATGGCGATATCATTCCTTTCATGAAGATATCTCTGACTCCCTCCGTGTCCGTCGCTCGAAAGATTCCACCGGAATGCTCACATAACACTGCACTTGGCGTTCAACTTGAATTTCCCATAAATGCGCAGATCATCACTGCAATGACTGCCATCCGGGAAAGCGCAATCTCCACTGCGCTCATTGCCACACCTCGGACCGTACTGCCTCGCACCGAGGGGCGAACCCTGGAGGCGACGTCCCTGAGCACTTGTCGGGCGCCTCAAATGCCGCGTCCAACGTCCCGTGCTCATCCTTAACCTTACCCCCGCCAAGTAGTCTCCTACCCCTCTAATCCCCTCTTGTCAAGCGATTCGAAATAGGTCAAGGTGAAGGACGATGGCCCTGGACGCCAACCTCTTCACCCTTGTGCTCACCCCTGCCAAAGGGGAGCCGACTGTCGTAGATCTCGTAGACCCACATGGAGAAGTTCACTACAGGAAGCGTTTCATCTCATCACAGCCGACGTATCAGATGAGCATCTTCGGTATGTTCGATTGTTGGGATGTGAGGAGAGTAGGAAACTGATGAACGCCCAGATCCGCACACCGATGCGTTGCTTTGCACTGTCGCTGGTACGAACCCTGCAGCAAAGCAGAAGACGATTGAATTGTTTAATCCGAATGTCACCGTGTCGTTTCAGAACACAGGAACATTGTGCGTTCGCCTCGTGTTACAATTTCAGAGCTACGTAGTAACCTTTGTTTTAAGATCCTTCAAGTGGTCGTTCACCTGGGAACAGTGAGTCCACGCCTCCCCGCTTCCCTTCTCAGCTAATAAGCGCCCATAGGCATGAATTTGAATGGAAGAAGGAAGCGTGCTTCTTGATCCGCAAACCGGATCCGCCCGTAATAGTGTGCTCATGTGACGCCCCCCAGACTTCGAAGCGATCTGCGCTACAGATCCTGGACTATAACTTGCAGCGATTCGATATTGATGATCGCAAAGGTGGGCTATTTCAATAGACACTCAGGATAACATATCTTATGGTTGTTTAGGGCTAGAGATCTGCATAATTGCCGGACTCCTCTCTTTCTACGACCAGCAAGATGAGAGCAACCGTGTGAGGCAACCAGAGCGAAGGGGGCCCCTTCCGGTGGTGCCGTCCACAGCTCAGCCAGAGCTTAGACCCCATCCATCTCAAGAGTCCCTCGATATCAAGAAGGATCTTCCTCCTCCCCCTCCCGTACCGATACCACGAGACGGCAACGAGATCTTCATTATCGACGATGTGCCTGTGCATGACTATGTTCAACAGTGCGCCGAGCTGCTACTGGACGAGAACATCCTCTTCATCATCCTTCGTGCGCAGTCGACGACGGCTGTACCAAAGTGTGTAACAGTGGCGGAGGAGGTGAAGCGCTGGATCTATAGGAGCACAGACGAGGATCAGGAGCTGCATCAGTATGTGACGACTGATGAGAAAGTCGACGGAAGGGGAAAGGGGAGGGGGAAGCATAGGATCAACCTGGATGAGCCCGTCAACAAGTCTGTTTTTTCTCCTCTAGTTGCCAAACTGTGATCTTACATCCCTGCAGCCCCAAACATGACTATCATCCCCTCGGCCCTCCTCAGACTCTTACCATCCACCTCTCCAAGATCCCCATGCCGGAGTTGCAGCCCAAGGCAGCTCCGAAGCCACCCACGATCCCTCGAGCTCCCCCAATTGCTCAATATGTTCCTCCATCAGGAGCCCCACCCAACCTCTCCCCGTCGGAGCCCAGGAACCGCCTTACCAAAGCAGACAAGGGGAAAGGCCGCACAGCCGAACTCCTCCCACTTCCAAATACTGATAGGAAGTCTGAAAAGGCGAAGGGAAAACAGCGGGCCGAGTCCCCTCCACCCGACCCGGCAGCGCGGGTCGACAAAGGCAAAGGTCGCGAAAACCCGACTCCGATGCTCTTCTCCCCCAACCCTTCTTCGTTCCCAGCCGCGGAGTCCCGACCAGACAAGGGGAAGACCCGAGCAGACGACCCACCACCCGCCCGCGGAAGGACGCATCGACCCTCTCCGTCCGTCCCTCAGCTGAGGATCGACACTTCTGCACGTCCTGCCTCTGCGCCTACTCAGCCGAGGCCACTTAGCTACCAGCCCAACTCGGTATCACAGCGTCCCCCGGCGAACAGCCAGCAATACCCACTTCCACCCCAGCCTAATCGGCAGGGCTACGATAACCCCAACTCAGTGTCACGATACCCTCAGTCTGGGCCACAGCCTTATGGGATCGCTCCTGGTCCATACGCCGTATACGGGACGTCTTCTGGGGCGGTGAAAGTTGCAGGGCAAGGAGCGTATTTGGCCCCGTATCCCCCTGGGACACAAGCACAGGGGACTCGCCCGCAGTCGGACTCAGGAGGTAGCATGTTTGATAAGATATTTAGGCCGAGGTCACGTTAGCTGGGAGGGTGTTATGTCAGCACACTTTTGCGGGGATATTAGTTCTGGACGGCGTGTGGAGAAAGGAGGAAACTTTCTTGTGCGTCTGTTTCTTTTGGGACGATAATGTGGAATCATCATGACAATTTCCGAACAGAAATGAAACACGCCCATCTATCTACGACAGATTTGCAGGTTGCCCAGCCTGCGGATACTCTACGTTACGGGGGCAGTACATCGTAGTTTGATCAACCGTGTCGCTACTTTAGCAACCTCCCACATAGCAAACGTCTCACACCAGCTGAGTCTTTCCAGCTTGGAATGGTCCATTACTTATAGGGTGCCATCTCGACCTTCGGTATTTCCACCCCCCTCTCATCGAACAGGTTTTCCACTGCTGCAAGCGCTTTCAGGAGAAGGTTGACGCGAAGTCCATGCATCGGGTGTAGCTCTTGATTCTCTGGCTCTTTCTGATCGATATATTTCCTCCATTTCTTCAAACTGACCGCGCGGGGTTCGCGTTCGGCCTTTTCATCCGTAAGTTTTCTTTTCTTCTGCGTGTGGGACTCCTCAGTGTCGTCTGTCGACTTCCTCTTCTTCTGCGCCCGACCTTTCGATGTAGTGGTGCCAGCTGCTTTGGAACGAATCCGCTTGACCTCCTCTACAACAAGGGACAGAGTCAGGTCCATTCTCTTCCCCAGCACGGAATCTTGTGGCACATAGGCCCTCGGGTCAAGCAACATCCTGTGCAGGGCGCGCAGATCGTCGTCCGTCATCAGCTGTCTGTCCGGCTTTACATAAGGTATGCTGACGGAAAAGTTGAGCAGGGCGCTGTACCATCCGTGCCGGACGGCGTTTGTTGAGGTTTCCCCACAGACATGTTCTTCGACCATACACTTCTCCATGCGGGAAAAGGACGGTAGGTCAAACAGTTTGCCTGCCATGAAAGAGTCTTCAGCCGTCCAAACGAAGTGTTTGGTCCACGAAGGTTGCATCCTGCGATGGCATGAGTCAATGGGTTCATTGTCAGGTACACTTGACTCACAGGCTTTCTCCCGGCCTGACAGGTACGTAGTAGAACTCGCCGAGGGGTCGCATCCGCTCATACTTGTAACTCAGCAAGTCCTGAATTACTCCGTCAGGATCCGTTTCCATCTTGCTTAACGTTTCCTCGTTCGGCCTGAAGTAATACCACCATTTTTCGCCCAAGACCACATGGATATATGTATAGCGCCCCCCGGCATCGTGATGGCCCCCAGTAAAGGACATGGCGTGAGAGGCTATGAACCAGGTCTCCTCGGTTAACTCGGAAACTTCCATAGCGAAGTCTTTATTCGGAGATTCTCCGTTATAAGACCGCAGCGTTTTTGACTGGAGTGACCTGCACCTAATATTAGCACACGCACTGACGAGGCACTACTTTTCAATGCACACCTCAAGAATGAGGGCCAGTTATAGGCCTCATAGTAGCAATCCAGCAAGTTCTTGCGCACGTCGGAGGTAACTGCTTCGTCGAAAAATTGCTGGAACGGATGGGACTCGTAGATCCCCAGGTCGTCATAGCATTGCATTGTACTTCTTTTATGTAGTTTATCCATGCCTACTTAAACGTCAGTATACCCACACTGGACATGAATCGACTAACTCACTGATAAACTCAAAGTGCTTCGTCTCGGCGGAGCTGCGACTCCGAAGTACCCCCCCAGATATGAGGGTGTCGATGTTGAAGCCCTTTTCCTCCCAGTTGTCACCTCCATGAATCTTGACAACGAATCCATCTTTCACTTTCCTAGCAACGTTTGCCAAGTCTTCTGTCGCCCATCTCTCTTCGAAGCGAGGGTCTTCTTTGGCCGGCTTCGAAAGACGGTTCATAATGTCGACCTGCTTCTTGTAGTGGTTCTAAGCAAACGCGTGGATGTCAGCGCATGGGCGGAGTGGAATACTGATCTGAGCCTACCAGAGCTGCGGAGTCCGTCATCGTTATCCCGCGTTTTGAGGGCGTCTCAGAGTGTCGGAGATTCCAATCCGTTTCAGGCGGGGTAGGACGACAGAACATCTTCGCAGGTGCCTTGGATGTTGTTTGCTGGGGCTGCTCCCAAGTACTAGTCCAAGGGGATGGATGGATTGCGGGTGCAGACTGGTGTATTACGGGCAGTGGAGTGCCGAAAGTATGTGCAACGAAAGCCTGAGCGGTGATAGGCTGAATGGGGTTGATCAACTGATCGATGATAGATTGATCGGTAATAGGCTGAGTGGCGATAGGCTGAGTGGGGGCGGCAGAGTGATTGACGGTGATAGACTGACTGGTCATAGGTTCGAATGCGGTGGACAGAACGGAGGGTTGCGCTTGCGAAGATTCAGGAGCGATAGGTTGAACTGTCGTTTGTTGGAAAAAATCTATCATCGCAGCATCCAACTGAACAGAGGAGTCCCACCCTATTGCGGGAGGTTCGGAAAGCATGAATGTGGAGATAGGCTGGAGTTCCAGAGTCGTTGGCTGAGAAGCGTTCATTTGAGCAAGTAGTGTTTCCGAATCGACATGTACGGTGGATGTCGGTTCAGAGACATCAGAACTCACAATGAGGGGAGGAGGCTGTTCGCCATCGGACGGTCCCACAGTCGTATGATCGTTGCGCGTTTCGTGTTCTTCTGTCTTGACATCGGAAGGCTCCATGGGGTGTCCGTCGGGCGCTTGAAGACCATCAGCCTTGACATAGGAAGGATCTATCGTTCGCGCGTCCAGTTCATGAGGTTCATGATGCTCTGCTATGTTGACGGCGGGAACGCTTGCAGCCAGTAACGCAGATGAGTCGATTATCGTCAAGCTTCCTTCTAAAGCCACTTCGGATTTTGCTTCTTCAAGCTCGACAAGGTTGAGTGGTGCGAAGGCACGACCTGGCTCAGCTGTACCGGTCTCCGCGACATCGATCTTTTCAACGATCAACTCGACTTCGGACCAAGCGCAGGTTTGTGGAGCAGACGAGATAGGAAATTTGGATTGAGGATCGAGGTGCGGAATAGGAGAGGTTTCAGGTGGGCGCGAGGGTTCGTCGTTCGCCGATAAGACGAGTGTGGGTGGGAGAGGGGGCGCATCGCTAGTTGGTGGAATGGTGTGCGGATCTAGGAGGAGGATCGGGCTGCTCCCATTTTCAGATTCTCCGTCTTTGTTGACCGTCTTCTCCTCCTTGTTGGTTTCCTCTTTCTCCGTCTTCACAACAGTATCATTCTTGCTCCAGTCGTCATTCTGCGGTGGTACACCCGCCAGATCAAGACAATTCCCAATCTGTTTCTGTTTTCGCGGCGGCGTCGTAGGTATATCACCATAATTCTCCGGCAACGGTTCCCCATGCCAGTAATGCATCCTATACGCCACTACCCGATTCTGCTGCGCAGCAGTATAGACATACCACTGTCCCTGGTAAGAGACGTCCTGTTCAAACCTGCACAAGGAAGCGTTATGCCCATCAAAGCGACCGCAGTTCCAGCAAGGAGATTCTATGTTTGGCTCGCCAGGCGCAGGCTCGAGTTGGTCCATTGTTGCCAAGGGGAGTCGGGCATAGCTCCGCGGTCCTTTCCATCGTCCAGCTCCGGGAGCCTTAGAAGGATGCCGATCACTCGAGTGGCGGAAGGGAGAGCCACCGCGTCCTCGACGACCATCGTTTCTGTCAAACCGCCGCCCATTGTCGAATGCTTGATTCGCACGTGGAGCCTTAGGATAGTACGAGTGATCCATAGAATAGCCAGTGGTGGCAAGCTTCACGCAGGCAACTTTATCTTGCTCTTCCCAGTCCCAAGTAGGGCAAAAGAGCTTTGCAGGGTCGTAGGGGGAGTCGCTGTCGTACGAGTGCGTGCGCTGAGGGAAAGAGGACGAGTTGGAAGAGGAATGAAAAGACATGCTTGGTTTTTGGCGATAAGGCGGAAATGCGGGGTTAAAACGGAGGACACGTGTAGGTGATGCGGATGGTTTGTGGTTTGTGACCAGTGGTGAGTATATGCTATTGGCGCGCCTAATTATCGCCAGCGGCTTTCAGTTAGTGATATCGGATTCCCTAAGCGCAGAGACAGACCACGCCCGAAAGGCAGACCAGGCAGACAAACGCTTGATCAAGCCAAGCAGACTCCAGTACAAAGACGCGCACAGATGTAAAGGTCAAGGAGAAAAGCGTGTTAGTCCGTAGGCACATAACGGAGGCGTCGTAATCCAGGCGGAAGAAGTCCTCAGAATTTTCCTGATGCGGGCGGGAGGCGCGGATTGGCCGCAGCGGCAATGCGGATTATGCAGCTTTATTGATATTAGCAGTTCATCCTAATGCTCGTGGAGAGAGAGTGAGATATGATGATAGTTTCGTCGTTAGTTTTCTTGAGATGATTATCCGCATGGAGAGGTTAGAGACTTACCATTTTGGGTATGAAGTTGCCAGTGACCGAACGGAAAAATGGTTGTTCATCGGTTCCGAATTTGGGGATGAAACGTTTCGTGACGGATTGTTTCAACCATTAGGTGGGATTTTCATCAGGGTCTGAGGATGCATGACTTGACTTTAGAACATTCGGCGACTGTTCCCCACACGCTCCCCGGCTGAAGAAGGACTGTATCGGCGGTAACTAGCGACTTCCACGCATCTGTTGCCATGTCTCGCCGCGGGGCAAGGTGATTCCGACGGGGCCGGCATTCTGCGTGAACAAAAGCATCGGTTGTAGTAAGCTGAATTACGAAGAAAAAGAGAGAAATGATTCAGATACGAGTGTACTAGTTATTACTAGTGTTGTATATACGCTTTGATTTGTCCTAAATCAACTGTTAGGGAGATGCCAATGGACAGCCCAGTTGATGCGGGAGCAAGGGACATTACGGCGTGTGATTGGCTAATAAATGCGGATGTAGTGGAAGTCAGGGGAAAGTGATGAGGTAAGTGCTCTTACATAACGGATGCAAATGAATGGGTCTGGACAACAGCGCGTGTGTGCTGTCCTTGGCGTCTTCTACTTCACCACCCTTTTTCCCTTTTCTCATCTCTCTTTCCCCTCCTCCTCGTCGTCTCTCACCTCCTCCTCGACGTCCTCGCCGTTCTACTCTTTCTGTCCTGTGAAAGGACACCAGTCTGCAGCCGATTGACCGCACATTCACTCATTTCATCTGCACCAGTCGCTCATTACCAAACCTTCACCTTCCCATCAAACCCACTTCAACGCCCATCAGCCCCCAAATCAAACACCCACTAATCCCAAATGGCTTATCCTCCACAACGGCATTCTCCAGAGGTTCAGTACTACGAGAACCGAGGGCACTCCCCAGAGCCACAAATGTCCTACCCGCCATCACCCAGCATGTCAACAACAGACCTACACGCACCTTACCGGCTCCCCCAGGGCGAGGCGAGCAGCTCGACACTCGTATCGGCTCCTTATGGCTCGTATGGCAACATGAGCGTGTACGGCGACTCGGACACAGCATCGATCGCACCTCTCAACAAGAAGCGCTATTCAGCAAATCTGTCACCACGCAGTCCGATGCCCAACTCGGCTCATCCTCTACGCACAGCATTCACACCGTCCCGTGTTAGCCTATCTACCCGTCAATCCTCCTATGAGCGCGATAGGGAACGCGATCGTGTGCCCAGCGCGATACAGATGAACGCCCAAGGGCGTGCTCGCAGTCGAAGCATGAGCCAGTCCAAGTCCCAGCCACCGTTAAACACAAACACGGTGCCCACCCCGGAGCCGTACACGTCACTCGCGATATTTCGCCCTTCACGCGAACGGCAGAATCTCTACACGCCCCGAGAGCACCATCTCGATTTCCTCAAGTTCCTCGCAGCGCTGTTCGTCCTCACAGGTACATTCTTCCAGGCATTCCTCCCTACCGTCGCTGCACCACTCGCTATCGCTCCGGGAGGCAGCATGGAACCGCTCATCTCCCAACATCTGGGTATAACGTGTTTCCTCATGCTGACGGGACGCGCCCTTACCGCGCCTTTGTACAACCCTTACCCGAACTCGTCGAGCTACAGGCCCAGTTTCCATCTGCTCTCTCGACAGATCCTCCTCCGCCCTATCAGATACGGAGCCCCCGTCGTGGTGGTCGCGGTCATTCAGTGGGCGTTAGGTGACACAGCTCTGCAGACAGCGAACTCTTTGAACAATGCGAACTTTGTGCCGCCCGAGTGGAAGAGCATATCCAACTTTGGAGGGCTGATGAACCTTATTTGGGGATGCTTCACCTGGGGTGCTGATAGCGCATCCGTCGTTCAGACGTTCGGCAGCAACCTCTGGATGTCTGCTTGGTTATTCCAAGGTCAGTGTATGCGTGTATCTGTGAGTGGATAACACTTACCGAGTGATACAGCTTCGTATTTCGCTCTGATCCTGTTTGTCGTGCTTGCGCCGTTACCTAGCAGCAAGTACTGGCTCATGATCCTCATTGCGCCTTTCCTCTGGGCGACCAACTCATACTTCCTCCCTACGTTGATCGGGGTCTTCCTCACGGATCTGGGTGCCCATGGGTGGACGCCCTTGCTCAATCTCCACCTCGGGTTCCGCATCCCACTTCAGCTCGGCGCGCTCGTCCTCGCCGCTGTAGTCGAGCTAGTCCCAGCCATCCGTACACCTATCAACAACGGTATGGCAGCATGGAATGTACGCGGACAGAACTACATCAACATCCAGTTCACCGACATCCTCTTCGCCGCCCTTGTGATCATCGCCATCGATTCCAGCCCGTTACTGAAGAGCATCCTCGGTTTCCGCCCGCTCCGCGCCCTTTCCCGCCTCTCGTCGGGTGCGGCGCTCATGGCCCCGCTGGTCGTGTACGCCGTTCTGCCAAATATGAACCCGTCGCTGTTCGTCGGCTGGCTCCTCACTGTCCTTCTCTCACTCGTCCTCGCGATCCCCTTCCGTATCTTCCTCGAAGTCCCCGCCATGGCCGCCGCGGAGATCACCCTGGAGAAGATGCGCACCTGGGGCGGGGATGGCCTAGAGCTCAGAGACGTAGACGCCTATTGGGGCAGGCACAACGGCGAAGACAAGGAGAGCGAAAGCAGCGAGATGACAGAGCTCAAGCGGGAAAAACGCTGACCATCTGCTCGCCACATTCTGGCTTCACGAACCCGTCAGTCCACCCCAGCTCCATCATCAACGTGTCCCGGAACAAGGAATCCCACCGATACCCGCAAGAGCGAATTATGCAACTATCGAAGAACTCAAACGTGAACGTGCTTTTATCGATCCCCTAGCCCAGATCATGCTCCCCGGTTACCCGCGTCGTCTCACGGTCTCATTCCAAATCATCCTCATTGAATTATTCTTGCTTCCTCTTCTACTTGTCACTTCCCACCCTGTTACTTACTACCCTTGCTCGTGTTGTGGAAACATGATAGATCACTCAACGTGCACGCCAGGGCCGTTGATCGTCTCACCCGCGCCGCACTTCTACGATACATTCTTACCTCTTACCGGACTTCGTACTTCCCTGACTTGCTTCACGTTCCCCGCTCCCGGCTCGGGCGCGGACTGTTTACTACGTATGTCTAGTCATTGTAGATTGACCTTGGGGATGCTGTAGGAAGTGGGAAATGCAGATGTTGTGCAAGACACGGGAAGAGTGATCGTTGAAACCTGTTTATTTACATCATCTCTGAAACTGTCTGGCCGCTTCCGGCATCGGCTGCGAAACTATGATACAGAAGCCGTTCCGCCCGGGATTGTGTTCCTGATACAGCCCTGCAGATGGAAAGAAGAGAGAAGAGACAGCTGAAGTCTAGCAGTATGATGGGCAGAATCGGGTGTAACCGCCCCCGCCCGGCCCGGTGGTATAAGAGATACAGCACACCTTCCCGCGGGTATCTTCTTCAGAGCTAATCAACCGTAGGCGTAGGCGGTGTCCAGCTTCCCGGACCGAACCCTCGCGGCCCCAATGCGTTGTCGAGCAAGTCCATGACCTCCAGCACCTTCTCTTCCTCCCACGGCCTGCCCGCTACTTGCACGCCTATTGGAAGACCGGCCATTTTCTCTGGGTCGTACAGCCGGCGCATGATTCCCCTCAACAGGCGCAGCCCCGGGTCTTGAGGCTCCTCTGGCCAGGTGTCTGTGGGCAGGACGCGGGTTACCGGAATGACCCCAGCAGGGAGAGAGAGGATGCTGTATAGAATTGCTGTGCCGGCCAGAGGAGAGAGTCGGGCAGTCGCGTTGTGCGGCAGGGCGGGCATGGAATGGACCGGACCGAGGATGATGTCGAATCCGTACTTTTCCCAGACCTACAGGATGACGTCAGTCTGAAAAGCGACCCGAGTTACGGTGAATGGGATTATTCTGACCTCTGTATGAAACTTCTGGACGAGCTCGTTCCGCCTGTGTACCCAGCGGTTAAAGTCCCGCACAGACTTGACTCTCAAAGCCTGGACAAGCGCTGCGAACTTCTGATCTCCCAGGAATCTTCTCAACACGAAACATGATATAGTCCTGATAATTGCTAGATATTGGGCGGAGTGTCACCGATTTCAGCACAACTTGTGTTCTGGAGAGGACACACCTGGGATCTTGGGACCAAGTAGGACGAGAAACATGGACGGATCTTGTGGATCTGGACCGAGGTGTGAGGTCAGCTGTTTGTATCCATCTGAACTACCCAAGGCGACGAAAGTTTCCATCGTCTCAAGCGCTGTTGCCGAGATTAGTGATGATACAAAGACGGGCGACAGAAACCCACCATACGGGGGAAGGAACTCGACACATTCGTGTCCTTCTCTTTCGAGAGCCGCCACGCACTCCCGCAGCGCCCGCTTGACAGGTGGGGAGAACTCAGCGAAGTCGTCTGTCGCCCATTCATTTTGTTTCTCTCCCCCTCCGGACTAGGCAGCGTACCACGCAGATAATATCCTACTTTGAGCTTCTTCGGCAGAATGACCTCTCTCCACGGAACGGGTGCGATCTCACCGGGTCCGCCGGGAAGGCCGCAAAGTGTTTGACAGGCGAGTCTGAGGTCTGCGATCGATCTAGAATACGGTGAATTGGATTGCTGAGAGGAATGTGAGGAGAAGCACCTGGCCATGGGACCTGCTGTGCTTCGGACAGCCTCGTATCCCTCGTTCGCCACTACATGCGAGTACATCAGCGTCCCACCTCTCACCTCACCCCGCGACACCTGGGACAGGAGCGTTACGCACTCGTCATCCCATTCTTGCTCATCCTTCCTCCCTGCCCAAACTTGAGGGAAAAGCAGCCCGACATATGCGCCGGAAATCTCAAACTACCGGCAAGATCACTTCCGAACCCGAGTGCAGAACCGCCGCACGCGAGCAAAGCGGCTTCGCCTCCGCTCGAGCCACCGGGGATATGCAAGGGAGAATAGGGATTCGTCGTGCGACCGAAGACGGGATTGTTGCCTGAGAAGGAAAGAGGTATAATAAGCACTGATCCGCATGGACGGTGGGAAGAGAGTGCGGGAACTGGGAAGCAAAGGGGCGAAAAAGGTCAACGGTCCGAACTGGACCACAGTCATG